TCAATATGTATCAGTCCAGTTTTGCTTACAATATCCAGTTTGAAGCCTGAAGCGAATGAAATGTTAAGCTCTAGTTATTTTTTGATGCCTGGTTTGTCACATTTTGAAAGTTGCGGGCCGAATGTAGATAAAACGTAAATAACAGTCCCTTTTAAAAAAAATATGGGTTTGTTTGCAAATATTCTTTGTTTTGGCAAGAATTTATTCATCTTCTACAAATTGACCTATTTCTTTTTTGTGACAAAAAACGTATTTTAAGGGTAAATCTTGCATATCTTTATAATACTTTGATTAAGGAAAGTTGCAAATCAAAATAGAAAAAAAAAGAGGGTATGATTTAAGACAAGATGCAGATTTATATCCATCAACGTACGAAATAAAATTAATAATAAAAAATAGAATGTGTGACAAAGAGATATGAACGTCAACGGATTGGTAGAATCAACGGAGACTTTCATTCTCCGATATATTCCAAAAAGGTGTAAATTATTAATATAGACAATATGGAACCTCACGTTCTGTTGGATCCATTTAATGCGTGCAGTGATAATTTATTTAATTCTATATATAAACAAATAAATAGTAAACTTAAAAATAAAACAACATTAATTGTTTAATCACTTGTCATATTGGATCTCAGTCACACCGACGTACGTTAGTGTCCATGCGTTATATTATCACACGTATATAGTTCCAGCCACTGAGCAGTTTATTCGGATTTACTAATTATGCTTTTTCTTGGTAAGAAAATGATAATACAAATATTTCTTAGTCTCTTATTTTACTTTATTCTTTGTACCGTTGTGTTGTGACAAGAGCATTCACAATTCACATACTTTCTTTTTCTGTTGTAACTATCATTCACATATACCTGACTAGTATTCGATACAAAACTTAAACATAATAAAATTATTCTTTCTTTACAACACTATTTTGTTTGTAAAATAACAATCCCACAACACTAAATGAAATTATTGTCCTCTCAATGCTCACCTCTTCCTTTCCATTCCACATTTTTTTTCAAAAAATTCCCATCTATTCAATTCTACAATATTATCAGTATTAGGATATTAGTCATGATGTATTTTGTTTTCTCTGTGGATACAAAGCAATTAATATTTTAAGCAATCATGAGAAAAAAAATCGGTATTTCGGATGGTATCCCATTTACGAATCACATTCTTATGATTTTTTGTTTCCAGGAATTGTTATAAATGGAAATTGTTATATTTTTCGTTAAACGCCAATCTAATGACAGTAGTCAAAACATTAGAATAATGCACGTAGCATGAAGCAGAGGAAAAAAATAAAAAAATATAGACATACATGCAATATAATGGACGTACATTAATTATCTCTCTCAAATTAGCAACTAATGAATGGAAGACACGTAGGGAGTAATTTGGTAGGAAAATAAAAGGCCCCTGCTTTAAAAAATTAATGTTTATTCAAAGAAATATTTACTGGCACGTATATATCATCAAGTACAAAACAAACTATGTACGTAAAATTATAAATTAGTATCGTTTCATTTATAAATTTTTGATGCAAACAAATTACTATATATATGTATATTTAAAAGGTTTTAAAGTCATTAAAATCTATAATTATCTTTAGTTAGAAAAGTTTTATTGTAATTTTATAAATGTTGTTTTAATAAAATTATTTAAACCTGAATATTATCAAATTAAGGTGCATAGGATTATCTAGGTTTATGGATAACAATGTCATTCATAAACAGATACACATCATCAATCTAAACTGGGGAATCAAATTCGAAATTTTCATTCCAAAATTTTTAAAATATGTTTGTTCAATTAACTTGAAATTGTTACGCAGATGTTTTGATAGTACCTAATGTTGGTAACTCGACGGGAAAAGCATCAAATGTAAAACATAATCGAGTGGCATTTGAAACAATACAATATAACATGCTCTGATTATGAACAGTGAATATATATATATATATATATATATGAGCCTTAATTTAAAATCTCCTAATCATCTAGTATACTACATGTATATATTTTCATAGTTTGTTTAACCAAATACTAGAAGGATTGCTTTCTTAACAAATAACAATTACCTTGACAGTTTTACTCCACCAACTCTATTTAGAGTATGGTTGCTGCACATATTTACCTGTCATAGCCAGTTAAATTGTTTCCGTAGAAAACAACTTTTCATTTTGGATATATGAATTTGTTATCCGCTTCCTAGCTAAATTGAATGTATTTTGGATATTTCTAGACACTGAAATTTTTATAAATGAAAGAATAAAACATAAGAGCAAAAGGAAAGCTTATGTCCTTCGAGAAATTAATGGGGGCACAGAATCCGATCAAACGTTAATAAGTAAGCCAAAAATCAAGCTTCGTTTCTCTCTAGTTTCAATGTTTCTTTAATTAACTAAACAGAAAAAGGTTTAGTTCCCTATATAGGAATTAATGGATATGCTACCACACTATCCCATCAATTAATGATAATCCTTTGGGGGAAGCCTAGGGTTTTAAATAAAATAATCAAATTTCGACAAGTATAAATGTAGCTCGTTGAGGGACAAAAAAAAAAAAAAACTAGCTCGTACAGAAATTTAAAATAGATATTGCTAGGTTTGAAATATAGGAATTATAAATTACTGAATTCAAATTTTCTAGTAACTAAATAAATATATATACTAATGTATCCTAGGGGTTTTAGAAACCCAATTCAAAATTAGAAATGGACCTCGTTCAGAGTATATAGCTAGGGTTGTACTTAATTATATAACTCACAGAAATATGTCCAAAAACTGCAAGATAGTGTACAAGCTTTACTTTTCAATATCATATCCATTTATATATTCCAATATCATATAAATTTAATTTTGTTAGTATATTTTATTATTATTATTTCATCCATTATGATCTATGGAGCTGGTCAATAAGAAAAGATTATAATATATTGATCGTCATGTTAGGAGAGAATAGTTAATTTTTTCTTAGAAGACAAAAAAAAGGGAATATTTGGGAGAATGAAAAGGGAATTAGAAGCAAATCTATAGGTTCTTAGAGTTTACTTGTTTTTGTTTACTGAAAGAAACAAACAAAATCTGCTTTCTGGCTGAATATTTTCTTTATATTATATATTATTAGTTTCACGTATATAAACCTGAAACAATTATACGTTACAATAATAGATTTGATTCTTATAAACATGACACATGGTTTATGTACATATACATACGGAGCGCCTTGTATTGTACACACGAATGTAATGTGGATGCGTATAGCATCTATGTGTATCATGCATGTATGTATGAATTTGAAGAGAAAGGTACTTTTTGTAATACGTTGCTCTTTTTTTCCCTACCTTTGGAAGGCAAAACACAAAGTATATATTCCAAATCAAAGTGGAAATAAAACACCGAATTGCTTCGAAGAAAAATTATCGAATATTTGATAAAGTACTATCTAAGTCTATACCTTTTATATTTTCAAAAATCACATAAAAATAACCCATAAGGTAAACCCAACAAAGTTTAGTAAACTTATAAACCAACATAATTTTTTTAAAAAAAAGTTAAGAAAAATGTGAGAATACATAAACAAGTCAAAATTTATGGAATTAAAAACATCGTAGCAAACGATTTTTAAGTTTCGTAATATAAATGAGCTATATACAGAAAAAAAATTATATGACATTTCACTTTGATTTGGCTTTAATAGAATTGAAAAATTGGTCAAACAAGTAACCAGTTGATTTTATAGTCTACATAGCTCTACGAACTAAATGTCTATACGAGCAAAAAAAAGGTCTATATGAGCTATTCATAAACTCAAAACGTACTGGTATTTAATATATATTTATCTCTTTAGGTATAGTTGAACAATCTACGGACGGAAACTTGAATTTGTTTGATTCCAAAATCGTACTAAATATTAAATATAACAAAAAAAGTGAATAGAGAGTGAAGTGAGAAGCGAAGAGAGTGGGGGAGAAAATAAAAAAGGAGTCAGAGAGAAGGCAGTCTCTTTCTCTCTCTCAACATATGTATCCCGTCGTCTCCGGGGTACCAAAATCAAAGCACTCTATTTTTATTATATTTGTATATATTTTTGTATTTGTTTTTTTCTTCTTGTTTTTTATTTATTTATTTAACTTTGGCTTTTGCTTTGACTCTAGATTTAGATAGGACAGAAGAGAGCGACCCTTTATTCTCTCTCTCCTCTTTGTACTCTTCTCCAATATTTTTTTATTAATATCCTTCATGATAATCTGTGAACATGTAATTTTTATCTAACAATCGAGTTTTTGTTTTATTACTCAAGGTTTAAAAGTAGTATAAAATTAAATTAAATTTATTGGATCTATATACAATCATCAACATGTATATATTGCTGACAAAAACATACAGCTTACGAGTTTAAGTTTTTTTTTGTCGTAGCTTACTAGTTTTAGACTTTAAGTTACTATCGTCGATATGTTAGAACTAATATTTAATTCAAATAATTCATATTGCTGGTAAAAAAAACATGTATGCATTGTTAAAAGATGTATATATTTTTATTTTATCTATGTAAATAGACCGATTATGAATACTTTTTTTGTGGTTTAAAAAAGATCCATTATAAATTCATAAAACATGCATTACAAATTTCCGCTTATTAAAATCAATAGGAGAAAAATAAAGTCGATAAAAATTAAAATTTTCAATAGTCAATACGATCAATGTAATTAAGTTACTGACTTGCTAATTACTTTAGCGAAATCAATAGTATAACTTAGCCGTAGAGCATTTTGTACATGGGTTTGCTTGGTGAAAGAAAGGTGAAAAGGGACAAATTTAAAATATCATCCTAAAATAAATTTAAAAAGCTTAAAATACTTGGAGTAAACCAAATTATAATTTTGCCCTCTCTCAACTATCGTTTTCTAAGATATACTCTCGAGGAACATACACACATACATGTACTGTACATACACACGCATCTCTCTTCTCTCTGTCTCTCTTACCTGTTTTAATTTTCCTGGATTTAGTTTTATTCCTTCTTTCTCTTCTGCCTTTGCTTCACAACACACATACCTCTCTCTCTTTCTTCTCCTTCTTTCTCTCTCTCTCTGCGTCTTACTTTGAGCATGTTTGTTTCTTCAAGAAGATCATTACTCAACTTCTCTCTCTTCTCCTCCTTCTTATTCCTTTTTAAAGCTCCTCTTTAACTTCATCACTCTCACTTTCTCTTTTCTTTCTGAGATATAGAGAGAGAAATAGAGAAAAAAATCAAATCTTTGAGACACCCTTTTGACTTCTTTGCTCAAAGAATCCCTCTTTTATTTTTCCCTTACAGAAAAATCATTTTAAATTCCGAAGCAAAACCCTTAAGATAAAAATAACAAAAAGAAAACTCATCACCCATCATCATCATCATAATCATCATCATCATCACCATCATCAGTAGATGCAACAATAGCAAGAGAGGTTTCTTAAAGGCTGTTTAATTATGTCCATGGAAGGAGTTTTCTTAGAGGAACCAAAATCAAACACAAACGCTACTCTCCCTGATCTGTCTCTCAATATCAGTCTCCCAGATATTCATCATCTTCATCACAATGAATCTTCCAAAGAACTTTCTCGAAGATCATCCCAAACCGACAACAACAATCTCATCAACAGATCATCAAACTTCGAACTCTCCTTATCTCATCATAATCACCCTAGCTCGAATCCAACCACTAGAATCCTCCATTGTCCTGAGCGAAGAAACCTCAATCTTTCTCATCATCATCAGCATTACAACAACCCCATCATCAATGGTGGAAGTCTTCATCAAAGGGTCGATGAATCCGATATTAATAACCTCCACCGTCCGATTAGAGGCATCCCGGTCTATCACAACCGTTCATTCCCTTTCCACCAACAAACCTCTCCTTCTTCTTCTTTACCTTCTCTTGGAGGAGGAGACTTGGATCAAATCTCAATCTTAAATTCATCTTCCGGCTATAACAACGCTTACAGATCATTACAATCTTCCCCTAGGCTAAAAGGTGTTCCATTGCATCACCATCATCATCATCATAATCACTATGGAGTCGTTGGATCTTCAGATTCTTCTTCTCCTCATCATCATCATGGGATGATTAGATCAAGATTCTTGCCTAAGATGCCGACAAAGCGGAGCATGAGAGCTCCGAGGATGCGTTGGACGAGTAGCCTACACGCGCGGTTTGTTCACGCCGTTGAGCTTCTAGGCGGCCATGAAAGTGCGTATTTATTATATACATACACTCACATTTATATCATGATCGCACTCTAAAGAATCTTCCCTTTTTTCTTCAGTTTTCTTCTCAAAGTTTGAATCTTTTATTGTTCTTGCTGTGAATCTAGGAGCAACTCCAAAGTCGGTTCTTGAGCTCATGGATGTAAAAGACTTAACTTTAGCTCACGTGAAGAGCCATTTGCAGGTAAATCAAAACTCTACTTGAAACTAAATTAAAATTTTATATGTTAATTTTGGTTTTTCTCTCATCTTCTTATTGGTTCCTTTCTCCTATATTATGAGTCTAGTCAAGTTAGTTCTTTACCAATCAAGATTCTCTAATTGGAGATATTTCATAGTTTTCATCACCATCATCATGTCTCTCTCTTCTCCTTTCCGTTGCACAAAAACAGCTTAATCAAGAAACAAGATTTTTGTGTACATATATATCATCAGAGCAATGAATACTGTTAAAGTCTTCACAGCTCGTGCTCCGACTCTAATGTCTTATTTTTATTTCCTTGTTTTGTCTTTGCTTTAGGCTTAGTCCTTTTTTTTTTTTTGAAGACATGGCACAATTGCCAAGAAATTGAAGCAGTTGAATGAATTTAAAGAGAGAAAAGAGAGAGTAGTTATAGCTTTAAGAGACTGAAACCTTTCAGAGATTTAATAAACTATTGAAGAATTGAGATGATAGAATTCATTTTGATTATAATTCTTGTTTTAAAATAAACTAGGAAGAGGGGACAAAAGTAGTCATTATTACTCAATGATAATAATACAATCTTTCAATTACTCAACCTTCTTTCAGACATCAACCTCGTGGTCTTAAAACGATAAATAAATAATTAAATGTACAACACTAGTTCCAAGACATACCCAGAAAACCACACATTTGTGTTATATTATTTATTTAATTATATAAAGTTCATATGTGTCTGCATATATGTCTTCAGTTTTGTCATCTGTATCATCATATATTCAAAATAATATATTTAGTTTAATCAGGATCTTTTGTCCGTTTTATTTTGTTTTATCTGTATCCTTAATCAGATTTATGGCTTATTCTTTAGTAATGCTCTCATGCCTTTTACTATTTTTTTACAGATGTATCGAACTGTTAAGACCACTAACAAGCCTGCTGCTTCATCAGGTACGTAATATTCCGAACAATTCGACCTGACTTTACACACACACACATATGTAATGTTATGCATATTCACATTTCTTTAATATAGGTTTTTACAGCTTTATATATGCTAAAGAGATGGCACTCGTTCATAATAAGAAATTCGCCAACAAAAATATTTAATTGAGGTCCAATATATATAATTTATGGATCATGATGATTATATATTTTTTTAATAAAAAATCATGATTATATCAGTTAATTTTCAATTAGAATGTGAATATGTGATTGGATATTTTTTAACGTAGAAGTATTACTATTTTATTTTTTCCTTATTTTCTATTTGATTTTACTATTTATTTCCACTATACTTCTACTATTCACTTTTCCCAAAAATAATTGAAAGACAAACCCTAAATAATGGTCAAACTCAAGGCTTTATCTTTCTTTTGATTGAAACCCTAAGTTAAGTGGTCAAAGTTCAAACCAAGCCAAATAAACATTCATCCCCAACACTGATATTTTCTAAGAATACGGAAAAAATTCTATGGAAGGATTACATTATAGACTACATAGTCAAATCCAAAACATTATTCATACATTGAAACAATATCAATTCTTTTATATTCCTCATGGATTGTGTATGTTTGTTTAACTAATAATAATAATGATTCATATATTGTTATTTGGCACATTTTTCAAGTTTTTAAAATTGTTTTTTGGATCAAGCCAAAAACTGATATAACATTTAAAGAAAAGCAATTTCGTCACTGCATTGTCTTTTACCAAAAGCATACAATACTTGTGTAGTTTTAAACATGAACCCTTAAAGGGTAAAAAGAATTGAGATGAAACTTGATAAAAAGTTAAAAATCAATTTTCAGATGGGTCAGGAGAAGAAGAAATGGGCATAAATGGAAATGAAGTTCATCATCAATCATCGGCAGATCAAAGGGCACAATCTGATGATACTTCTCTTCATCAAGAAATTGACTTTCCTTCCACACAACCTCGTTGGAGTAACTCTTCACGGTACGTTTACGTATTATAATCTTTTTTTTTTTGGTTGAATACGTATTATAAGCTTATTATACACATATGTACACGTATCACACACACGATACGTCTATACATTTTGTTTTTGTTTTTGAATAGTACTGTTAATATCATTGAGAAACGAGAGCGCTTTGTAGTTAGTTAAGTACCAAATCTTAACCAACCATTAAATAATCAATCCTTGCAAAAAAAACATAAACATGGAGAATCTATAAAGAAACAGAGAAAAGATGAAAAAGATAAATAGCCAATGTTGCATCAGGTCGAGAAACGTATATACATAACCATGATTTCCCGCTAATTTAAGTGAGATCAACGAAATCTGATATATGATTTAGGTTTCTCTTACCTAATTGTTCCTACTTCCTACCAAGTTCATATACCAATTCTTTGGTTTATCCCATGCATATATCTATTTTCATCTAACAAAAATATAAATTTGGATGATATTTTCTATTTGCTTTGTTCCTATTAAGTGAATCAATTAAAGTGGTGGTTTTTGTGGATTTGAGAAAAATACAACTATTATCAATTGTTACTGGTATAGTTAGCAGAAAGAAGCGGCCTCTTATATTATTTTCAATAAAAGTAACACCTACTTTATTATAGTTTATAAATACAAAGAAATAAAAATTTATCCATGTTTTATTTGATCAATTTGTTTTACTTTTCTTTTCTTTAAATCATACAACAGAGAGACATGGCCATTAAGTAATAACTGCTCAAGCGACATAGATACGATGATCAGAACATCATCAACATCAATGACCTCTCACCATCAAAGATCCACCCTTCAAAACCAGGTTCTAATAATAATTCTTATATAACCATATCCACAGATATTGTTTTTCCTAGGTCTTCTTTAATTTAATATATTAAAGTAAACTCGCAGGAGCTAAGGTCGAACGATCAAGCAAAGAGGTGTGGAGATCTTAGTAACAATCCAAGTTTGGAGTTCACATTAGGCAGACCAGATTGGCACGAGAAATGACTTTCTTGATCCATTCCGATTTGAATATATATATATATATATAATCGTTTGTCTCTCTCTATATATTTATATATATACTCGGAGCATGTATGCAGTTACCTCGTTGTGACGATGAATTTCTCAGAGGAAAAGTAGAACACGTAGAGAGCCAAGGCGCTCAAGAGTGTTGATTTTTGCAAGAAGGAAGAAACTTTGGGGCTTCTTCTTTTCAAGTTCCATTGATGATTTGACTATCAAGTGAATGATCAATGTATGAGTTTTTGTTTCGGTTTTCCGGGGGTTGATCTGGTGTGATCATCATAAGTTGTATAATTGGAAGATCATCAAATTTGGTGAAAGATTGGATTTTTAAAAGCCTCTTGGTGGTTAGAGAGTTTTTAGTTATCTTTGGGTTTTTGCAGCTGGAATGTAGAGAGAGATATCTGAGTTGAGATTTCATATGTATATACTGAATCCTAAAGTACATAAACACAAATGTATGCATACACAGGTCCAAAATCCGAATCCAAACGCAGACATTGATCATAAATGTTCACGATTGGTTTTAAAAAAGATTCTGCTGGTTCTCTGCCTTTTCACAACAAGCTCAGTATATAAACATTAATTTATATAAACTTCCATCAACAACACGCTTGACCAAAACTCGGGGTTTATCTACAAACAGTAGAGACTTTAAAAAGAAGAGGAGAAAGAGACGGATTCTCAGCTGGAGGTTTCGATGTTCACCTCTCGATCTTTGTGTTGAGGACGACTGAAACTGTTACCTGAAATGGCTGATCCCATCACTGAAACCGATTGCTTCGCCAAACGCAGGCTTCCTCTTGCTCCCAACCAAACAGCATAGAAAAACCCAACCCAACCTGACCAATGCAAAATTTGTTTCATTCTTCAATACACAAGAGCCTTTTAGAATTTCATTTCAAGATTCCAAAAACAGAATCAGAGCAGAGTATAACCTGAAGCAATTAAGACGGAAACAACAGCTGAAATTGTAGCGGCAGAGATGACGAATGCAGCAACGGATAAGGCTCCGATGTAAATAGCAGTCAAGGAGAGAAAGAAGAAAGCCAAGAAGCCACCAGCAACAGCGAGTGAAATCAGAAGAGAGATTATAATTGCATTGGCCGTTGCAGCTACAAAGAAGAGCGTGAAGACAACCAACGCCATTGTTGTAAGCAGAACTATTGTTCCCATCTGCAGCAAACAAGATTAACAAAAATTTGACTCAAATGGTTTCAGTAAAGCACTAAACTTTTCATCAAAGGTAAGAGTTACAGGACCAAGAAGATTTAGTGCACAAAAATGTTAACTTTTACTTCAGGAATCGAAGATATTTGAAATTGAGAATCGTCTCTAATTAGGGAACTAAAGAAATTTGAAAATTCAATCATCGAAGGTACCCAAGAAATTTCACTCAAATGGGTTTCCATAAAGTACCAAACTTTTTACATGAGAGTCGATCATCAATGGTAAGAGTTACAGAACCAAATCCGATTTAGAGCACATAAATTGGGGGCAAATCGAATGCTAAAGTTTATAATAAAACCAATTTCAACATCATCTTGAGAAGGAATGAAATCTATCTGATTATGAATCGAGCCAAATCAAAACCCACTTACAGTGATGACAAGCAGTGCACGAAGCGGGCTTCCCCGACGAGTCCATTGGAGAATCTCGCATGAAGTTTTTCGAGAAGCTTCTCGAAGTTTCGGGCCATTCTCGGCGACGGAGTTTCTTATTCGTTGAAGCAGAGAAGACGAGGCCTCCCCGGATTTCGAATCCGGAAATAGAATCAAACCGATCGTGAGGCAAAGCAAGGAGTAGAGGCTCTCCGAATCATCCTCCTCCTCCCCATAGTCGCGACGATTGATCGTCCCTCGGTTGACGATTTCTCCGACATCATCGCCATCGCCATGGCCACCGCCACCGACAGCTTCGGCGTAGGTTTTATTCTTATCCGTCTCGTCGTGATGATCTGGCACCATTTTTCTCAGACTGGTCGTGGGACGTAGAAAACTAACCAGCTGTTTCGATCGGATTTAGGAATTGGAGTAAGGGGACAAAAAACTTGGGGATTTTTAACAGATAAAATATGGAAACAGCTGTTTAGTTTTTGTTAGGAGAAAATCCGCCATGTGTAGCACCGACGTGGCCTGAAACCCCCAATAACCGGTTTTGATACATCTCAGGTTCGTGTCATCAACGCGCTTCACATGCGAGTGTTCTTCTCTTTCCTTTTTAGTTTTATCATTTGGGCTTGTAAGGCTTCTGTTAAGGCCCATTTACTTTCTACGCTATATATAATATATATATATATATATATATATTTTTTTTTTTTTTCTTTTCTTTTCTTTTTGCCGCCAACTCAACCGTTTGTTTGTTCTGTTTTATGTAAGAACAGAAGGCGAATTAGAATAAGTCGGAATCAAGTCGGAATTTTTGTTTTCTCCCGTTGAAAATTACAACAAAAGGCGAATTAGATTAGGTCAAATATCACTTGATTGCTTAAGAGATAAGACCAAACCAAAAAAAAAGAAGTGAAAAACAAATGTTAAAGATTGTTTAAGACAGGTTGAGACAGACAAAAAAATTTCAGTTTTGTACATCAACAATGGTGTCTTTAGCAGAGGTTGTTTCAGAGACAGAAGGGAGTGTAGTGGGTGCTGCTTCCACAGAAGAAGAAACTAGCAGATTCCTGAGCTGGGTGGTTATGGTAGTAGTCTCTTGATGCAGAGAAGAAGAAGAAGGAGATGCATTGTTGTTGTAAGTGAAGATCCGCATCGGGTGATCAAATTTACAGCTTGGACCAAACTTGCAGATCCCATACCGCGAATAGAACACACACAGTGGTTCTCCCTAAGATAAAACAAGAACAATATTTAATTCAGAACCGAGACAAGAATAACCACAAGCATATACTAAGGGCGAGAAGAGTATTAACCAAATCACAGATAAAGAGAAAGAGAAGACTCTTAGTTGACCCGTAAAGTAAACAGTTTCACTTTTTCTTTATGAATGCTTAACCAAACTAAGCCAAAGCAGATAACCAATTGTTCACACAGTCTTCTGTTGGCTTACCAGGCGTAAAGGGAGGCCGACAGGGCTTAAGAGACAGTCAGGAGCAGGGGTTTGCCTGTCTCTAGGATGATGAAATTTGCAGACTGTACCAAATTTGCAATCTCCTGTCTTCATGTAGAATTCACATTCGGGTTGACCTGGTCTTTCCGGGAATACATTTTCTCTCGGTAATGCATAGTACCCGAACGGAACAGAGTTCCCTGAATGTTCCCCGGACGAGAAGAGACCTCCTCGAGATCCTGAAGTCTCTTTTGCATCACTCTGCTGATGGTTTCTGTAGGCCTGGTCACTTCCGGATGGAGAAAGCGAACCGTAAGTGTTCCATCCTTGAGCTGATACAACACCACCTTGAGGTAGAAGTAAAGAGGCGAAACTAGAAGGATCTTGCCAACGAGGACTGTTTGCAACAAAAGATGGTCTCGGCCAAGAATAAGACTGCTGACCAGTTGGGGATTGAAGAGCAGAGTAAACCGGAGAGCCACGAAGAGAAACCATCAAGTTGGTTGATTGACTCTGAGGGTGGTTGAATTTACAAGTCCCACCAAATTTACAGTGACCAGTTCTCAAAAAGTAAGAGCAATCATCTTCATTCTGCAAAAGAGTATCATAGGAAATAATTTTTCTTTTATAAACTAATGATGAGATTAGAGAGTTAAAAAGGTGCATACCGGACGTAGAGGATAGCCTAAGACACTATGCGATACTCTTCCAGCTTTGTTCCTAGGATGATGAAACTTGCAAGTCACTCCGAATTTGCAAGTTCCCGTCTTAAGATAAAACTTCACTCGAGATACAGAGAAGTACTCAAAACCCAGTAAGCAAGGATAAACAAGGACATGGCTTTATGATTAAAACGAAGCCAAATTCTGTTGACTTCAACATTTCATCTAAATCATTCGCTGTTGGAAACATATTCACCTCGCACTCAGGCTGACCAATCCTTTCAGGGAATTCTCCTTTAATCCTTTCGGTTGCTATAACCTAGAAATTGGACATGAGAGATTACTCATCAGTTAGTAATCACAGGTAAACAAAAGCTACAAACTTTGAGCCAATAAGACAACATATGGGTCGAATCAAAATCCATAAAGGAGCACTTCAGTACCAGTTTCCGGTCATGAGGATGATTGAATCGACAGGTTGAGCCAAACCTACAAAGTCCAGTCCGTATGTAATAAGAACAATCTGGCTCTCCAGGCCGCTCAGGGTACGACCCATCATCACCACTCATTGTTTCGTCTGACCCCAAATTCATTTGCCACATTGCATTTAAATTGAGAAACCCAACAGGAAATTCGACATCACACAATCGATCAATTTTAAGATTGAATCAGAGACATGAGAGGGGAGAAAAAAGGGGCCTACTTTGGTTTAGCAACGAGGAAAGAGAAGTTCCGTCCCGAGAAATGGGAACTCTGGAATCAAAATCCATGGAGATGAAGAGGAATAAGGAGAAGACACCATGATTCTCACTCTAGAGATATTCCGACGGGAAATCCCATCGTTTCTCCTCCCCCGAATCGCCTTCCTCCGATTGTGGAGAGTTTTGAGGAAATGGCAATGGAGGAAGACATGGAGAATTGTCTAGAGAGAGAGAGAGAGACGGAGAAAGTAAAGCGTTGTCTTCTCTTCTCCCCTCCACACAAAAGAAAAAGGGAGAGAAAATCAAAAACTAGAGAGATTCGAAGTAGAAGAAAAACCAAAAATCTGCTTCTTGAAAGGACTAAATTACCCCTTTTATTTACCCGCCAAAATCGGACGGTTGTGAGAAGTCGTCAGACTAAGTAGCCCATTTGGCCTTATGTTAGCCCATTTATATTATTTGAGTTCAAACACTAGTTTTTAGAATCTTCTTACAACGCAACGTATTATGATTCCAAATCAATATTGTTCAGTTCATTTTATTTATATATATTCATCGGCTATACTTCATAGGTTCAAAACTTCAAATCATGAAAGTTGTGATCAGTTTTAGATCATTTTAATTAGTTTTGTTTCTTCTCGTGTTTGATATTTTTTCTTTTTGAAAACAATTGAATTGAACAACTACGGTTTGAAGTTGGAACTCTCAAAAGCTTTCTAGTTATTTTCTAGTTCTATCTCAAACATTAAAATACAAATTACACTTCAGAAATAATAAGATGTATGCTCCCTACAGCCAACTACTATCTGAAAATATGAAGTGATTATCTCACATCTAATTACTGTACAAAGCCTACTCATTCCATTATCGCCTTTTTACGGCGGTAGTAATCTTGGCATTCATAAAAAGGCGATTAAAAAGCATTAGTCCTTCACTGTCATAAGCATTATATGACCAACACCGATTGCATTAGCTCTTTCTACCATTCTAGGTTTGTAAATATCATGTCCCTGAATTTTCAAATAAATTAGAAATATAACATGTGTAAAATTATGTGATGAGAATGTAAAACCTAAAGACCACTGAGTTTCAGATGAACCTTGAACTAGCGGATGAAACTGATAACCCAACAAACATATGTAGTTTGTAACACCACGTGACCAAAATCCATAGATTACTTATAAAAGACTTTTTTATATCTCAAATACACTTCAAAATTCCCTTAAAAGGAAAAAAAACAAATAATTTTTTCTCTTTAGTGTAAAAGAGAAAAAAGTTGTGATGATGACCAAAGGTAAGAGAGCGAAAAAGCCTAGGAGAGACCATTGATTTATACTTGTTTTTTTATTTAATTATTAATTAATGAATAAACTCCAAAGCTGCGTAGTAGGCGACGAGCACTGGTAAAGAGACCAACATCCCAAATATCACCCTACATTCACCACAACTTAATTTTTATATTATACAACAAAAAAGATTTAAAACTAAAATTTACACAGTTGTTATTTATTTATTTTCACTTACGCGGTGCTTAGAACATCTGCATGTAATCCGTATTCCTTAGCAAAAATGAACGAAGTGATCGATTGTGGCAAAGCAGCCTGGAATTTCATAAATAATTTATGATTAAACTGAAAATAATTAAGTGTGTATCAAATTAAATAAAAGATGTATCAAACCGAAACAAAAGAGATTCTATTTTCATTTGCGTTCTATACTTTATACACACACAAAACCCCCAAAATGTGAAAGAAACAGATTACGTATTATGAAAAGAGTGAAAAAACTGTACGCATAATGAAAATTCAAGAAAATAGTAATTACCTGAATAATGGCGACGCGGAGCACATCGCCGTGGAGGCCAACGGCGATAGAACCGATGGCCATGGCGGCGGGTCCGGCTATAAACTTCAAGAACATCCCAAGCACAGTCAAGCTTGTTCCACATACTATCAACTTCTCTTGTAGTGCCATGAATATCCCTGCGAGTAATAAATATAATACTCATTATTATCTCGATAATGGGTTCATAATATCTACATGTAGACTAGAAAGGCATTTGAAACATAAATAAAACGTACCCATATTGAACATGGCAGTTCCTGTTCCTGCTTTTGACATTATAAGAATCGATCCCTCCATTATCCCCGGCATCCCAAAATGCCATCTATTTCCATTCATACAACATTTAAGTCTTTTGTTGATCACAGTTTATTCTAGTACGAAATAATAATCAAAATCCTAAACCCATTGTTTCAAAACTTGGTTTAGTTAAGACTGTATAGATTATGGCCATATATTGTTTCTTTACATGTACGTTTGCGTTTCTGTCACCAATTGTTATAATGTATATAGAACATTGTAACTTGGAAAGGCATACGCAAATACATATAGAAACAATCATGTTCCATCACAATTTTATACATTTATCGATAGGCGCTAAACAGAAAAGTAATTTTGATGGTCAACGTCGAATTATAGATGTTTGTTTTCAGGCAACTTAAACGGGTGCTTAGAGGTTAGTTTTCGAAGTTACTCACTTAATGTCTCCTGATCACACACACTTAACGCTTTAATTTGTTAATTAACATTTCATAAACGTAAGATGTATTTTAAAGATTCCTTTAATTTTACCTGTTAGAAATAAAAGCCCATGCGACCCCAAGGATGCAAGAATAGCAATTCGGATTCGTTGCAAGCTTCAACCACACGATGGATAGGACCTCAAGCAACGACTTCTCCTCTCCCACAACCAAAGTTTCTCTTCTCCCACCTTCGATATTGATGTTATCTGCCTTAGTGTTACTACTAAATCCGGCTCTTCTAAACTCTAAGACAAACAACAAGAGTGTGAGCCACACGATTGCTTGAAACACCGAGGACTGAACCACGAGATCAACAGCCTGTTGTCCGTACATCGCCTTAGCCAATGGCACACCCACGACAAGAGAGTTAGTAAGAGTGCATAGAGAGAAACTAGTAATGGACCAACAATAGCTTCCTTTCTTGCTATATTTGGCCCAAAACACTAAGACCGTGACTATGATGACCTTAGAGAGGACATCAGCTGCAATGAACCGATAATTCATGTCGAATGGGTCAACATGAGCTGCGAACTCGAAGGTGAAGAGCGGTAGGGTGAAATAGCATACGAGCCGGTTTATGGCATCGCATTGATCACGAGTGAATATGTTCCACCATTTCACCGAACCATAGCCTAAGATTAAGGCTACATAGAGTGGAACCATTGCTTCGATTACCTTGTAAACATCTCCCCCACTTATCATGGTTTTACTAGGAAAAAATGTTTTACTTATAATACAAAGTTTGGTTTCTGGGATTTAGGAGTTTGCGAGTATCAAGCGAAGGGAAAGAAAATGAAGTTTGTTAAGTTCTTTTGTAGATAGTGAATGTGGTAAGACATAAACAACATGTTCATATTTATAGATACGTACATACATTTAAGTTATTTTTTTATGAAAAAAGAAAGAAAGATAGTAATATATATGAGATATCCATGGGTTATATTCAAACATATGCAAAAAAACAGAGTTTTTGGTATAACAATAGTATTTTTTTTTAATTAATGATGGTTACAAGTATTTATAAGTAATATGGCATATATTCCTATAAAATAGTTGCAGCATTTAATTATGAGTATCTAAGTTTAAAATAATAAGAAAAATAAATTAAAATTACCTCTTAGAATTCAGCTGAGAAAGAGCTAGAGAGAGAGGAGAGTTATCATTTTCAATATATTTGACCAGACCGTGCCATGGCATATGATTCTATTCCAGTTGTTTCCTCTATACATTGAGTTATAATATTTGTGTATGACGTAAACATTTCTTTCAATATTTGACTATATTTATAATTACACAAATGCACAAATAATTGATGATAATGTCGCAGAATAAATAATGAGGTTGCAGCTTGAGCCCTAGAGTCGAACTTCGGAGGGTGAGAATGTGAGATTACGTCTACCAATTCTCACCTGTTGGATTGATAATGCGACTCGGGGAGGAGGTATGACCCAATAATTACACATCTTAGTTTAGGCAATGAAATGCCTTCTATATATAGCATGAATTATCATTTTCTTTTTGGTTTTCATTTCATTATATATTCAATGGAGTTAGTGCGTTATGGCCTTTCTCCCAAATAAATGACAGGCATTCTGATCAAACCTGCGTGAATTTGTGGATTTTGAAGATTCAGTTACCGAAATATGTGTTAGTTCATGAAATGTTGGTGTGTTAAAGCAGTTTTCTTGTTCTTAAGGTTCGTAGTAAAGCAGCAGTTTGAATTTTATATATTAATTTTCATTAAAAAATAACGATTTATATAGATGAGAATGTTAATAAACATATATTTAATAGGTAGATTTAGCTCATAATGACACTGGTTACAAACTTACAATTGTAATGAACTCATTTATAAAATCAATCGTATATAGACGTGTCACAACTCCATAACTATAAAACCGTCTCTACCACCAGTATAGGTTTTTGGCTGTCGTAACCACAACCACAACCACATGTGTTCAGCATGATCCAGCTATATATATACTACATTAATCCCAAATAGTATTTATTGAACTATTCAATAAATTATTTCGAATTTTATTCTAATAATGGGAACAGCATATGCTATTGCATGTAATATAAGTAAAGTGCATGGAGAGCAGCTTAAAATACAAATGCCGAATTGGGTATTTGTGCCCTACGCACCTGGCGATAGCAACCAATTTCATATCCCACAAAGTGAGATTTGTTCACACAAAAATCACTTACTTACTATTAGTAATGATCTGAAATTCAATGTACATATTTTTATATTTATTTGACAATAACATTTCATGATTTGTGACGAGAAAATATATATCCATCTATTTCAAGTCAAATGGTACATATATATATATATATATATATATATATATATATATATATATAAATAGAAAGATAAATGAGTTAACTTCTTTTCAATTTTTTGTTTTTGTCTTAAAACATGTTTTACGTTGATTTTCTATTTGTCCTTGCACGAAAGAAACATCAACATATTCAATGCTCTTAACTAATTTATCTGACATATGTTTGTTTTGTAACCACATTCCAATCACGACAAAATCATATATTCATGATGAGAAAATTGATTTAACTTAATTACTAGAGAATCATGCCAAGGCATAAGATGATGTGGAAAACACATATATTTATATTTTGATTAGATAATAACATTTCATGGTTTTGGAATGAGAAAAGAAAAGAAAAACGATTTTGACTGATGGAACAAGAATTAAAATTGGTGGCTTAGAAATATGGGAGAACGTGGATGATGCTTCTTCACTGGTGATATTGATGGATCACATATATAAATGTCATAATAATGCTATTAGAATAAGTTCTATTTATCACTCGATGTATGATATGCTTCATTTCTTTTGATCTGTTGATAAAACAGTCATGTTAACATCGAAAAAGGTTTTATTTTCATTAATTCATTATCGACCATATTTTATTTATTCCTCTTCAATTATGTAGAAATAGCTAGCATGATTTGAAAGCTTTTTTTTTTTTTTTTTCAAATTCCTACTTTTTTTTTGGACTTTTGGCGTCATGCTATATTTTTGCCCAAACAAAGATCTTACGGTTTTTACATGTTTGTACTACAGGTCTCCAGTTTAATCTTTTCAGACCAGAAAACATTGTATATCTGTAAATGAATCATCTTGCTAAATCTTCAAAAAAAAAATAATCTTAATAAATTAGAGTTTGAATTCCCAAAAAATATATCATTCACCAAATAACTCGTCAAAATAAACTTGGATGTTTTGATAAATGATTCTAGTGTTAAACTAGTTGAATTTAGCAAAGTATAGACGAAATCAAGTTGTGAAAAGTTACAAATCAAATCAGAAGCAATAAAATAAAAGGACACGATGTTGACTTTAAATTTTAAATAACTGAGTGAATTTAAACAGTATAATAATAGAATGGATACCATACTACACTACATGAATTTTTTCCAATATAATTAAAGAAAATGTGTCGTTATACTTGGGATGGTTCATAATTTGCTAAGAAGGAAAGTCCACTGTTTCGACACTGTGCTATTTCTTTTAATACAACATTACTCCTATACTATCGAACCTATAACTAAGATCATGCATCTGAATTTCGAGATTGTGTGTCAGATTTAATAATTTTTTATTAAATGAGAAGATAATACTACATTTATTTATATTTTAAAATACGACATTTATTGCTTTCTTCTTTGTTAATATCACCGATATTTTGTTACAGTTTCGAATAAATCTGGTTCGAATATAATATTTTGGGTAAACTTCTTGTTAGACTCGATCTCAAAACTACAAAAGTCCATAGACAGTTTTTGTCCTCTCCTCAAGCCATTTACACCACACTCCCACTATCCATCTTCCATCTTCGGTAAAATTTGTGATTTTTTTGTTGCAAATATTCTTACTTTCAACTGTAATTTCTTGATTCGCAGTACATCCGTTCTGATTTATTGTTTTTCTTGTCAGTTCAACCCAAACACATGTCCAATTTTAGTTTTCCCGGAAGGATTTTCGCCGCCGGTCATGAACCAGTAGGTGAGAAGGTTAACTCTTACCAGAAATTGAAAGTCGTGAAGGCCATCCTTAATGCGTTTGATCATGAAGAAGCGAAAAGATTACGAGACTCACAATTGGGGAAGCTTCTGGCGACTAAGGAGCAACCGTCGTTTTCCAGCAGTATTGGCGACCCAGAAACCATACTGATCAATTTCTCTGGTTTGGTTTCAACTTTTTCGAGAGAGCTAATCAAACTTGTTTATTTTATTTAAATCAAAGTTATTTTAGTTTCGTCTCTTCTCTGAAAGTATCTGCTGATGTAAATTAAAAAATTTGTTTCTTCTCTAAAATTATGGATCTGAGATTGAGAGAGAGATTGTTGAAGACGGAGATCTCGATGAGTTAAGTTGGAAAAATGTTAATTTGAAAGTTAACAATCAACAAATGTTTATACCATCTAACAAATGTTTTAATATATCAAAATAATATATAGTTGGATAATATATAGCAGGTTATCTTTGAATCCAAAAGTTGCACTCACTCTAAATTATTTTGAATTTAGAATTAGGTTTCTAAATTGAGTGTTAGATTGCTAATATATTTTACAGATGATTACAATTCATATACTATACAATATAAATGTTTTTATATATCTCTAATATTCCACTTAACATGTTAACTATATTATTAGACATATAAATTTAAATTAATACTCGATAAGCCAATTATAGCAACTGAAATTAAGCACGCTAACAAATTATATAGCTTTATAATATGTTAAGTAATTGTATAACTTATATGTTAACGTATATCAGATAAAAACAGCGCGCTAAAGAATTATTTATACTGCTACCGTTTCATGTATCTCTATAACGTATATGTTAACAAGGGTCTGATATAATCAATTATCAAACCAAATATACAAGTGTCAAAGAATGCAGCAATCTTTTTTTTTAAAGAATGCAGAAACTTATCATGCTAACAAAGTATGTAGTTTGATAAAAAAAAATTATGTAATTGTATAATTTATATATTAAGTAGATGCATACACATGAATAAAATTATTTAGACTGATAACGTTTAATATAACTGTATAATGTATATGTTAATGAGTTCTGATATAATCAATAATCAAATCAAATATAGCAACTCAGAGGTGTCAAAGAATACAAAAATTATTTTTGTTTCAAGAATACAGAAACTTACTATGCTAACAAAATATGTAATTTGATAAGAAGTTATGTAATTGTATAACTTATATGTTAAATAAAGAAGATTGATGAGAGAGAAATTTCAGAGCTGTTATATTTTGTGGTTCTCAAATATCTACAAGCAGACCTACGTTATCTACAGGAACCTATAGATGTCGATATTATCTTTTCTTCCATTATTTAAATTAAATCAAAAATACAATTAGCAAAACAGAAAAAGTTAGTTTGAGGATTCTTTTCGTAATCTACCACAATTTGGAATTCAAAATTTTCACCTGAAACACTGTTTTTCTTTATTGGCAAATTTTGACCGGATCTTAATCTATATAGCAAATTGTCTCATATAATTATCAATATTTATTCTAAAAAAACAATTATCAATATCCACACACTAATCTTTCTTGCAATTCCGTATAGAAAACACATTTACAATTGGTCTGTAAAGGCATTTGTTCTTTAGACTTCGGGAAAAGAATAGAAGCTCCAAGTGCAGGTGGAATAAATCCTCTGTTTGAAACGACTTCACTTCTAAAATTTTTCTTTTCTTTATTATTATATATTTTTTAAAAATTTGTGGCTTACAAATAATCTGCTTCATCACTCAATATATGCTACAGCAGCTACTTGTACTCCATGTTTATATTCTGGGAACATTCGGCTTTTTTTTTTTTTTCAGAGAAGAGAAGTGAAGAAAGAAGAAGTTTGAACCAACATCAACACTCTTTGATTGCATGTTCTCAAGATTTGGCGAATACAAAGTCTTAACAACATATTAAGAGATCAAGACCGAAGGCTTTAGTGTTTTTGGTTTTCAATTTTCCAAGATTAAGGGAACTTGAGACAATAGAGCTCAAGGGAAAAACAATCTTTAGACATACCTTGAATTTGATCATCGCACGAAACAGTGTTTCATCTCATTTATGTTTTATTTTTCTCCAGACTACACATTCTTGGGGATTCTAATATGTGAACATTTAAAAAAAAAAGATTTAGGTGTTGAATAAGTAGACATGTATTAAGGGAATTGGAAACATAAAAACAATCACTGTGGTAGCTAGTGCAAGAACAAGCTGGTCAACATTAAACAACATGGAGGTTTGGTAACAACGAAATTAATAATCAGAGCCAAACCGGTTTGAGAATTGATTTTGGCGGTTTAATTGGTCTGGCGGGAAATTTTGACGAGTCAACCGGTTTTTAATTTAGTTGGTCGTTGACGAAAAAGTCTCTCAAGTTTCGTCACTTAACTTAACAGGCTGGGTTTCTTCGTGGTCTGTTGTTTCTCTTTGACGCTGGACAAAAAATAATAAAAAATTAAAAGAGAAAAAAATGAAGAAGAAGATGAAGAAACAAAAATTAAAATTCCTTTCGTACCCCTCTGGTTCTTCTCCTCTCTCAAACATCTCTGCGTTTCTTCCGCGAGTTTCTTCTAAGCTCTGTGATGGCGTGCCCTAGAGACTCCCTCACTTACAACGCCACGCGCTGCGCGTGCGGAATCGGTCAGCTTCTTAACCGGAGCTCCGGCAGCTGCGAAATCTTCGGGTGGCCGTCGACGATCTCGACGGACAAAGATCTCAACTACAGCGGAATATCTTTCGCCGAGACGCTATTCGCCTTCGATAGGATCCGGAAATTCACTCAGTCCCAGGCTGTGTTCCTCGAAGCCACGCTCGTGATGCTTCTCTCCTGGCTACTATTTTGCTTCTTTCTCCGATTCACCAAGCTCGGCGACGGTCGTAATGTCTGGTTCAATCTCCGTTGGTGGATTACTCGGCTCGATGTCTTCTTCTCCACTAGGCATTGGCTCGTTAGTGCTTCTCTTTCTTTTTTTTGCCCTGATTACATGAGCTGATTCTTTGAGTACTAATTAGGTTTTCCATCACTTTGAATCTCGCAGGATGATCAGAAAATTGTCAGGAAAAGGAAAACGGAGCTAGGTGGAACGTTATCTGTTGCGAGCTGGATAGTCTTCATAGGATTATTCGCTGCGTGAGTTTTGAAACTCAGATTGTTCTGATTGATTTTTGTGAATCTAGAAAACTGACTTACAATTCAGTTTCTTCACAGGCTGCTTTACCAGATCATAACCAAGAGAAGCATTGAAGTTCACAACGTGAGAGCTACTAATTCTCCAGATTTAGCCTCGTTCGAAAACGATCTGGAGTTCAACATCACTGCTGTTTCTGATATGAGCTGCTCCAATTTACGTGGTATCGGGAATGTGGTCACTGGTAATCCCGGATTTAGCGATTTCAAAGTTGCTTCTCTTTCCACTTTTGGAAACTATTCTTGTAAAAACACAACATCAGGGCCAACTGTGAATTTCAAGTGTACTAGATGTCGTCTCACCAGCGATTACATCTATATCTCTTGGCATTTCGTTGATCTTCCTGATTCGCCTGCCGCTGCTGTTGGTTTTCAGTTTAACTTCACTACTCATAATGGAGCTGACAAGAAGCATATTAGTTTTGTTAGTGGCACTCTGAGGAACGGAAGCATCCTTGATGAAAGACCGGTTACTTTCCGTGGAACTCAAGGGAATATATTGAAGTTTAACCTGTTTCCCCGGATTTATCATCATTTACATGATCTTAAGCTAATCCAACCTCTGTTCCACGAGTTTATCCCTGGCTCAGTCTATAGAGACACTACACAGCTGCAGGCATCTTTGGGGAGGTCAACAGATGGCATACTCAACACCACATTGTTCATCAACTATCTGTCTTCTTATATTGTTGAGATCGACCATGAAAATATACTCGGTCCTGGTAAGTTAAATTACAACCGTTTACTTTGTCCAATCACTTCTTGTGAATCCCAGAAGTCTTAGTAGTTATTTCTTATGAACTTTGAGATAACTTCTGTTGCACCGCGATATGGAGGCTTGTGCGTCCTCCCTGTTGCTTGATTTAGTATGTGCAATAAGTGAATACTAGACCAGCTTAATGTGCAATAAGTGAATACTAGACCAGCTTAAGTTATAACTAAATTAGTATCTTTTTTTCCTCTGTTTGCTGTTTTACAGTTAGCTTCCTTGCCGATCTTGGTGGTTTGTATTGCATCAGTATTGGCATATTTTTCTACCTACTAGTGCAGGTTTGAAGCCTTTCCATCTTTATTTAAATGTTTTACCTTTCTCCGTGTGCCTTTTCTCTCTTCTTGAAGGAGACTCTTTGATATATTGGTATTCACAATCTATCAATATAAAAAGAGCATTAAGCATGATTGAAGATCTTAGGAAATTTTCTAGTCCTTCTTAGCAAATCCTGGATGGTAGTAACTTGGCTCTTGGAATAGTGTGAGTACAGGATCAAGAAGCTGCGAAATGAAGATACCATATTCAGGAGGATACGGAATCGTCGCAAAGCTCTTGACCACTGGGATAAAGTAATTGTTTTCCCCTTTTGTTATTTTTTCTTGCAATCTCCTGTTTTCATATTATTAATTGCTCATAGAATACTCTCATTTAGCTGAGAAGATATGTTGCATACACATGGGATTGCAGCATATTGGTCAACGATGCCATTAAAACAACAAAGGTGTCAGTGCTCTGTGGTTTAGCGAGACCTTCAACATCTCCTAATAGCTCTAATTTGGAACGTGGATCATCAAGAACAAAAATTCAGCATTCTATCATGTCGAACAAGAAACCTGGCTTAAGTATTGAGAAGGTAACTTAACTATTGATTTTGCGTTTTCCGTCTCCTTTTCAAGCCCCTAAGACTTCTTTACTGTCTAATTTTTTCCAGAATGTAATTCCACAACCTGCAAGCCTAGAAATGAGATCTTTCGATTCGGCTTCTTCTTTGGATCATGGAGATGCTTTTTCAAAGAAGAAGAATATAAGCCAGTCTTCTCAAAGCCATCCACTTTCTCGTTGTGATGACGATATAATCCCTCCACCTCCTCCAATGGGTATGGCTTACATTTATACCATTTTATGATATAACATCCACAATTTTCCTTCCTAGATCAATCGACGTATGGTTTAGGTTTTAGAAGTAGAAGTGGAAAAAGATGTATCTTTTGAGTGGTTTTATAAGAGAAAAATCGGTTGCAACAAGCATCTAGATCAATATCTTTGGTTTATATACAATAGTCTCAAATCTGAAACGTCGGACTGGTACTGTTAATATTTGCAGAGTTCAGTGATGAAGGGTCTTCTGGTTCAGAGGTGGACGCAATCGACATCAGGAAGAAATTTCAACTTCTCTATGACTACAACGTATTACTTAGGGAAAAACTTATAGACACTCAGTCTTTGCTCAATGCTTTAGCACCCAAAGCATCATCATCTTCAACGACGGAACACGGTGCCTAGAACCATGAGGTTTTCTAACATGTATTGTTTGTATTCTCATTGTAACCCCCACATTTATAGAACAAAGTGTTTGTTGTATCATTGTGAATATACCAAATTGCTAATTGTAGCAAATTCATGTTTATGACATTACAAGATTGAAACCGCGGAATCGATCAAGAAACAGAAGAAAAGTTAAGCAATAGATATTATCATCATCGAAACGTACAGGATAGTTTCTTCAGTCAAGGTTTACATTATTGAAAGTCTAGAAAACATGCTTATAATTAGATAAAAAAGAGAATAAACATGATGATAAATCCCTGAGACATGATAATAAGCTTAGAAGTGATAAAAGGAACCTAACCTCAGGAGATAGATTCATTGGTTCAACTTTTAACCGCTCGAATTAACAGAATTCCAGAGCTGGATCCACTTAACCATAGCATCAGCCGCTTGCGTGAATGCAGGATCTTCTGAACCCAACTGCTCTTTCACTGCTTTAGCAAGCTCAATCACACAATCTTCAACTTTAAGCGCAGTCTCGGGCAATTTCAAAGACTCGAAGAAAGGAACACTTTTCTCCATCAGCTTCATTCCTTCCCATTTCTTCCTCAAGCTCTCAACTGCATCTCCTCTCTCGTTTCTCCACACATAAGGCAGTCCGGTTTTCACACCATAACCCAAATGATCAGAGATATGTTTCAGGCACATCCCACACCAAACATCTTCAAGTGTTTCCCATCTCACTTTCCCTTCTCCAGCCAATCTAAGTGCAGGCACCAAAGCTGGACCCACCAACTCACGGTTAAAAGCGATGTTGATACCGCTTATAGGTAGCATAGCCTTGAGGGGCACTGTCATAACCGCATCAACATATGAAGTGTTCCTTTGCTCTGTCTTGAGAGCTTGTGTTGGAGCATCAAGATCAGCTAGGTTAAGCCAAAGTCCACAAGATGCAGCACAAGGAACACCGCTTCTAAGGCTGAAAGGGTATCCACGGACAAAATCCGCTCCCTCGCAATAAGGATCGTAAAGGGTATTGAAGAAGAGAGGCGTGGCTGGGTTTTCGAGGTTGTTCACGTGCTGAGAAACAGCATCCACTAGGAACCCCTTGGGATCTTTAGCCGGGACACAATCATCATCGATTGAGACAATGTACTTCTTTTTAGATATGAGATAACCGAAATATCTGCAAGAATAGCCCGAGAACATCGTGGAATTGGATGAGCCAACAACTTTGTCTATGTCAGTCTTTGAGTAGACATCTACATCAAAGCCTTGTGGAATGTTGAGTTCCTGCTTGAGCTCAGGATCTTTGACAACAATCAGATGAAACCCGGAGAAAAAGGGCTTCCAGCTGTTCAAGAACTGTGTCAGGTCAGCATTAAGAGCCCCAATGACAATGTCGACCTCATTCTTGTTTATCTCGGACATCTTTGATTTTCAACAATCTTCTACGCAGTAGGAGATAACTTTAGGCCTCAAGTAGCAAAATGTAATCTTCCAAAGCTTTTTTCTACAGATACATAAAAACTTGAACTTTGTCAGAAAACTACCAAATAGCATAAAAACAATTTAAAATCTGTCAATAAGCAAACTAGAAAACAGTAGTATGATTAAGTGATAGATACCAATATTTTGACAGGACCAAATTTCCGAAACAAATTCAGGCAAAAAAAACCAGCTTTTTAGATAACATCACTCATCAATAATTGTTAGACATTTAGAATCTAGTCCAAACACACGATCCACATAGCCCAAAACCTAATCAAGATCTACTCTTCAGTCAACTCAGGATCGCATGAATATTACGGTAAAGAAAAAAATGCGATCGATTGAGATCAACAAACGAAACAAATAGAATTGAAAACCGATTAAACCTACTAAGATCCTGCTATCAACGGAACAACAGAAACATCTCGTCTATACCACACAGAACAAGAAGACACACATTTCGTTCAAACATAGAGATACCCAGATAAAATTAACGAATCGGCAGATCAAACATAGCAATACCCAGAAGTTAAATAATAAATCGAAGAGAAAAGGCGAATCAAGAGACGCAAAAAAGGATTTCGTTTGTGAGAGATGGACCTGACTCAAGGTGAGAATGCAGCAGATCCGAGGTTTCTTCTTCTTCTTTTTTGGTTAAGACGGATAAACACAAATCGTGGGTATGATTAGATTTATCACGTTTCTGTAGAATTGGTCCAAAACGTCTCGCGCATTTGCTGCTGCGTCCCGCAATTTTCTCTTCGATCGTGCGTGTCGTAACGTTAGGGCGCGTCAAAGTGTTAAAAAGACTCGATTCTCTCTAGTCAATCAGAACCCAAAACCGAGTCTAACCGGTCGGTCTGATTTTTGAATTACTTTAATGACTTTTATATCATGGTTTCTGTTTGGTTTGAACGGGGAGTGAAGTAAATCCTACTAAACCTCATCAAACCGAACCGCATTATTCTTGGAATGGGAACACTGATACTAATACTGATGCGTTTTGGGAAAACGGTCGATTCCCTATGAACTTTATACTTTCTGATTTCTCATACACGAACTATCAGACCATGCCTCCAACTACACGAACTACGTTTGTTTTTGAATTTCCTACACTAACTACTTAAATGTGGTCTATTCCACCAACCCCGTTGACGGAGTATATTTCACCGTTAACGGATGCTGACGTGGGTGTATGCGTGGAAAATCGAAATACAATATTTTTTTTTATAAATAAATACAACCAAACGATGTCGTTTCATTTGGTTACTCTGTTATTAATCAAAACAAAAACAAAGAAAACGTTGTCGTTCTTGTTTTCGATTTGGGGAAGAAAGTAAAAACGTTGTCGTTCTTGTTTTTCTCTTGGCATGTACTTAGGATTATCCCGAAGCTCATTCACAAATAGCTTAGCAATCACTTCTTTGACTAAGTATTTTTGAACGCCCACTCTTCATACAAGTGTGTTTCTTCACATACACCTTAACCAACCATTTTTGTAATGGTTCATCATAAGAACAGTAAATCCTCCACATACACTCTTCTTCTCCTTCTTCGGGCTCACTTGCACATTTAACCTCTGACTTGTTCTTCTCCCAGCGCTTATATTCCACATTCCATCCTTCCTTTAACACATACTCGAGCACACCTTGTTTGAAAGCTTCCAAACTATCAAATGCTTGGCTTAACATCAGCTCACCACTGCCTTTCTTGTATCTGATATAACCTTTACTATCATCAGCATCATCATCATCGTCTGAGCACACCGGAGTGGCATACTCATCAATCTCTTCATCAATAAAATTGACCAGATTTCTTTCAATTCTAGCTTCTTCTTCAAATTGACGATCTTCTCTCACAGCCTCATCTCTCTTTGGTTCATCACCATCAGTCTCATCTCTCTCAGACTCCTCATTGTCATTATCATCTCCTGCGACCTCCTCTGTGATTAATTCAGGCTCTACAAATATGTCAATTGCGTTGACATAGCTTGCAGCTGCACACGTCTTCTTAAAGTTTCCATCCCCATTTGCTAACAGTTTTCTATCCTCCAATTCTTCAAAAGGGACCTTATACCATACTCTCTGCCCATACAAACTCACCGGAAGTTGATTCATCAGCTCTGTAAACAACAAAGAGGGTCGACTATCAACAAACCGATATCCTCCACCGATGTAAACATCTTTGCCTTCCACAACTTCAAACTTCCCACCATAGAAACAGCCGAACGTTATCAACCTATCGAAATCATCACTGCAGACCAAAATCATATTAAAACCAACCTAATTTCTACTCAGAACAAAGTATTAGAGAAAACTAAATTAGACTTACCTCATTGTCGAGACTCGGAAAACTCGGACACGAAATGGAACTTCACACGAAATCGATTTGATACTTCTACCACGAAATCAAGATGGAACTAACTCACAATCACCAATTCGTCTCTTTCGTCGTATGATATCATCTCCCCTTATCTCGATACTCAAATTTACGACGAACCCTAATTTTAATTCTCCCCCAAATTGCCACACGACGTTGTTTTGGATTTTCTGGATTTGGTTAGTTTAAGATAAAACGGCATCGTTTTAGCTCTCCAATTAAAAAAAAAAAAAATCAAACCGGTTTGTTTACCTGGCTGCCACGTCAGAAACCGTTGACGGGCATCTCACACCGTCTGTGGTTTTGTTGTAATAGATCAAAAAGACGTAGTTCATGTAGTTGGAGGCATGGTCTGATAGTTCGTGTATGAGAAATCAGAAGATATAAAGTTCATGGGGAATCGGCCGTTTCCCGATGCGTTTTATTGGTTTATTGTAATATTAAACTAGACCCAGATCGGACCTGTATACCAAACCAATCCGAACACAATTCAGTTTTTCACTATAGTCCACCGACTTCTAAACCAAAAGCCAGATCAAGATCAAGAACCGGATAATATACTCAAAAGTCAAAAGCCCGTATCGAACCTCAAATACCAAACCTATATCTAACCTTAAATACCGACAATTATTATACTCGAAGTGGACTTGGATATAATTCAACTACGCCTAAGCCAGAAAACTGATCAAGCTTAGCTGATTATACTCAAAACCCGGTTAGGGACAAACATCAACTCTTTACTTACTCCATTGAAGATAAGTCTCTAAAAAAGCACTCGAACTTAAACATTACAACTTACATCAAAAACAAAACAAGAAATACTACGAAGGAAAAGAAGAAGAAAGTTATTGAAAAAAAAAAAAAAAGAGGTAGTGAAATAAGTTGATCAAATAGGCTGTGTGCATTTTTTCTGAGAATGTCCAAGTAAATGGCACCTTCCACACTGCACAATTCTCTTGGGTCTCTTCAAATTCTCAACTCGAACCACTTTCTTCTTCGGCCTACCCGGCGGTCTCCTCGTTTTCGGAGGCCGTATCCTCAAGCTTCCTCCAACATCTTCTCCTTCCTCCTTCCACAAGCTCCTATCAGGAACCTCCCCAATCATCTGTGAATACGTCTGCTGATAAGCAGCCACAGTGAAACACGGCTCCGCAAACATATGCACGTCTCGACCACACGAGATCAGCGCCGCAGCCGCGTGAGCACACGGCAAACCGTATAGCTGCCATCGCCGGCACGAGCAGACCCGTGTACGTATATCCACAATGTTGGTTCTCTCCGTTGAAACAATCTCAAACTCGACCTCGTTGGCACGCAACACTTGGTAACACCTAGCATCAGAAACAGCTTCTGTGATCCGTCTCTCCGCAGAAGGCACGAGCAGCGAGTTCCATCTCATGCTCATATCACGGCGAGAATCGAACCAAGAAGATATCTGATGACGAATATGCTCCATCATCTGTATGATTGGGAGCTCATGGCATTCGAGAGCCCAGTTGTATAAAACCTCTGTGATACCTAAACCGAAATGTCCGTACCTCACGCCTTGGAAATACGCTACAGCCCAGAGATGAGGAGGGAAGAGCTCGAACCACTGAACCACATCTTGCGAGATCTCAACCATCTCGGTTATCTTGGACTCGAACTCCGCTGCTGTGAGCGCGTAAACCGCGTTCCAGAAGATGTTAACAAGCTTCGTGTTCTTGAATGTGTCCCGGAAGTTCTCGCTCACGTAACGGAGACAGAACCCATGGAACGCTGTCGGGAAATGAGTTCCGACAGCTTCCACTATTCCGATCTGTCTCTCTGAAAGTATAGTGAGTCTTGGCATGCTATCGGTATTCATTCCGAGAAGCTTCCTCAGCTCCGAGAGAAACCAAGACCAGTTTTCATCGCTTTCGTTGTCGACGATTGCGATCGCTAAAGGAAACAAACCGTCGTCTGCATCAACAGCCGCAGCGCAGAGGATCGCACCCAAGTACTTACCTTTAAGGTGTGCTCTATCCAATTCAAGAAGTGGCCTACAAGCACTGAAAAACCCGGAGATACAAGCTCGATACGCAATAAACAGCCTCTGGAAACAATTCTCCGGTCCCGATGCAGAAACAGATGCGAAGCTCCCGGGATTGACTAGCTTTATCTGCTCACAATACGCAGGAAGAAACCGATACCCTTCTTCATAAGTGCCATGAAGCGCAGCCATACTCCGCTCTTTCCCACGCCACGCCTGCATATACGAAACCGCAACACCATGCTCGTCTCGTATATCCTGCAGTATCTCCTTCGGTTTATACTGAGGATTGTCTCTAATCCGTGCCTCTACTGATCTAGCAACCCACCCAACCGAAGCTTGCTGATGGTGGAGATCACGGACACCTTCACATGTATGCTCACCATTAAGCGTCCTAACCGAAAACGTTGAAACGCCAGGACATTTCGCGGCGTGGATACGCCATGGACAACCTTCTTTGGAGCATTTGGCTATGAATCGACTACGGTCTGATTTCACAATACGGAGATCAAAATGCAGAGCTATAGCCAAATCTTTCAAAGCTCTCCTGCAAGTTTCTACATCGGGGAACTCTTTACCGACTGCTAAAGTATGTTCTGCTGACAAAATATCGTCGGAATCTAGTGTGATTAAAGCTCCATCAGCCATTAAGCATTGCATCTGAAGAAGAGGGTTTCTTCGTCTTCTCGATTTCAGTGCGAAACACTTGTCATCACCTACTAGGACGTACACGAAGAGGCAAAATCTCAGTGTAAAACTTTGATCGGAGCACACAAAACCCTAATTCCATGCTTGGATCATAAGCTCAATCAACAAAAAGATCATCCTTTAGGACATTAAAAGAGACCCATTTCCAAATCAATAGCATTCCAAAGATCCCACACGAAGAATTAAAAGAATTGATGAAAGGGAAATTAACACGCAGCAAAGCTTAAACTACCTTTCCAGAAATTGGAAAACTAATGGGGATCTTCGTTTGGGTGCCACTCGGGCAGCGACAGCGACCGAGTCACGTTCGTTCCGCAGTTTCGGACTTGGCCACCAAACTCGGCGACAAAACTCGGCGTTAAGCCACCATAATTTCAAGCCGCTAGGTTTTTCAGCGTGGCGAAATTGCAGACGGCGTCACGAGAAATGAATCCAGGAAGAGATGGGAAAGTGGAAGGTTAAACTATAGATTATGCCACGTGTCAAGTTACAAATGGTGTAAATGTTACATTAATTTTTTCCTATAGTAAGGATAAAGGTCTGTTGAAAAAAAAAAAAAAAAGATTTAAAGGAGAGCGTTAAACAACTAAACAGTATCGAAATGGTTAAATGAGATCAGAATTAGTGGTAAAATTATAAAAACTAGGTAAAACTCGCACCATTACTAGTCAAATGTGATGCTCAAATTTATCTCTATTGTTGTTTTTTTTTTAACATCTATTTTATCTCTATTGTTGTTGTATATTTAAAACCTAAAATAATTAGAGCATTCACAAAAAAAAAGCGAATGTTTTGATAATTTTGTGTGTATCAATTAAAAAATAAAAGCATGTATTATGGTCACAATATATCTCATTTACTTATATTTTTTTCGAAAAACAATTTTGGAAGAAAACTCCCTTCTTTTTCTGAAATTGTATAGCTTTTATCTTGACTCACAGATCACTTAATGATGTGCATATATTAGTTTAAGCGGATCATGTGGCTGACTAGTAGTTATGTTTCTGAGTCTTAGTTATAGACACTATAAAGAAAAGTAAAATGCATTTGAAAGATTTTTATATTATAACTAACTTAAACTAGATTTAAAATTAGATTGAAGGCTCTCCATGCTTTAGGGATTTGAACGAAGTTGCAGAAACAAAAAATAGGATTTGTCAAAAAGAAAAAACAAAAAAATGTCCACTAAAAAAACAGAAACTTGTTCCCTTTCTTCTCGCATGGTTCATCGGAGAACTTCATTGTTCATGTATTCTGATTGGCTTCAATTTTTCCTCTTTCTTTCTTTCTTTCTCTCTCTCCTCTCGATTTCTTCCTCTGTTTCTTTTCATTACCATCTCCCAAAATTGTTTGCCCTTTAACGTGGGTCCTTCAATTTCTTGAAGGACCCCGCCATTGTTAATCTCCTTAAAAAAAAAAAAAATCTTTTTTGGTTGTTTTTAGGCATTTAAATTTTTGATACACGAAATTGATTTCAATGATCATGAATTGTTTTCCGTGTTTCACTTCACGCAAGCGCAGAAACTCACATAATAATAACGAAACCAACGAAAACGGTGAACACGAATTCAGACCACCTGGTAATCACAATTGTTAAACTGTCAGATTTTACCAATAAAAAATATGTTAGCTTCCTTTATACCGCGACTTTGGAATTTCAAAACCCATTTTATGGGATTGATTCGATCGTTGTTTGTTTGGTTACAGTGGCGACGACGAAACATATACAAGAAAGAGAAACAGAGCAAACACCGGTGAAAATATTCAATTTCAGAGAATTAGCGACGGCGACAAAAAATTTCCGGCAAGAATGTCTTTTAGGAGAAGGTGGATTCGGTAGGGTTTACAAAGGCACCCTTCAATCTACTGGCCAGGTTTGTTGCCAAAACCAGACTAAAATTGAGTTGATTTCATCACTTTAGAACCAGAGAATCATGAATAGAGAAACTAAAAAGAAATTTCAAAAATGTTTTTTTTTTTCCGGTGATTTTCTTTGAAGTTGTTTTATTTCTTTGTGAGTGTAGTTGGTAGCTGTAAAACAGCTAGATAAGCATGGACGACATGGTAACAAAGAGTTCCAAGCTGAAGTCTTGTCATTGGCTAAACTCGAACACCCGAATCTTGTTAAGCTTATAGGATACTGTGCTGATGGAGATCAGCGTCTTTTAGTCTTTGAATATGTCTCTGGAGGTTCTCTTCAAGACCATCTTTACGGTATTATTGATCATTCAAAACATTTCATTTTGTTAGTTTTTAAAAGGAGAGTTACTTTAGGCTTTGCTTAGACCATCTTGTTTTGGTTATGCAGAACAAAAGCCAAACCAAAAGCCAATGGATTGGATAACAAGGATGAAGATTGCGTTTGGTGCAGCGCAAGGATTGGATTACTTGCACGATAAAGTGAATCCACCGGTGATATACCGAGATTTGAAAGCCTCTAACATCTTGTTGGATGCAGAGTTTTACCCCAAGCTTTGTGATTTTGGTTTGCATAATCTAGAGCCTGGGACAGGTGATAGCTTGTTTCTTTCTTCCCGAGTTATGGACACTTATGGTTATTCTGCGCCTGAGTACGCTCGAGGGGACGATCTCACTGTCAAATCAGATGTTTATAGCTTTGGGGTTGTGTTGCTCGAACTCATCACAGGGAGAAGAGCTATTGACACCACTAAGCCTAATGATGAACAAAATCTAGTGGCTTGGGTAAAAACTGCCCCCACGTCTCTCTTTCCTTCTCTCTTGAATCATCATCAAGTTTTGATCTTTTTTGATGATATGTTTTGGGTTTTGCGCAGGCGCAACCGATATTTAGAGACCCGAAAAGATACCCGGATATGGCAGATCCTCTCTTGAGGAAGAATTTCTCAGAGAGAGGGTTAAATCAAGCAGTGGCAATAACATCAATGTGTCTACAAGAGGAACCAACTGCACGTCCTTTGATAAGTGATGTAATGGTTGCGCTTAGCTTCCTTTCCATGTCTACAGAAGACGGTATTCCAACCGCTGTTCCAATTTTATCCTTCAGGGACAAAAGTATGTCGATTGCTTTAAGCAGACACAGTTCTTGCTCTGTAACTCCTTTTTCATCACTTCCTCGCAAAGAGGAAGAGGACGCATTCAGTGTTTCATCAGATTCAGAAGATGAAGATGAAGAACAAGTAAAAGATGAAGAATTAAGAAGAAGTCAGAAGACGGTATTGGAAGAAAAAACCGCAACGGATTCAGATAATGAGTCTGATTCAAACTCCAAAAACGGTCAAAAAGAGCAACATACTCAGTTAGAGAAACCTCGAAGCTCTAGCAGTTCCTCTGACTCTGGAAGTAAGAAAAGAAGGTCCAATAATGGTGAAATTAACGCAACTGCACAGAGCTTGAAGATGAAGTACAGTTATAGCTCTGAGGAAGAAGATAATGAGAGGCTAAGCAGTAAAAACAGCTGTAAATCAAACGAAGAAAGCACTTCTTTGCAGTATGACAGCGATAGAGATCATGATGATTCACCAAGGAACACAAGCAGGCCAATCAATAGTATTTCTCATGATGATGAGGATGAAGAGGAGGAGAATCATGAAACTCAGCTTCAGCACATTCATAGCTCAAAATCTGAAGTCCAAAGTGTTTCTTCAGATGATGAGGAGGAAGAAGAGGAGAGTCATGAAACTCAGATTCAGCACATTCATAGCTCAAAATCTAAAGTCCAAAGTGTTTCTTCAGATGATGAGGACGAAGAGGAGGATAATCATGAAACTCAGCTACATCACATTCAGAGCGCGAAATTTGAAGTCCAAAGTGTTTCTTCAGATGATGAGGATGAAGAGAAGGAGGGTCATGAAACTCAGCTTCAGCACATTCATAGCTCAAAATCTGAAGTCCAGAGTGTTTCTTCAGATGATGAGGATGAAGAAGCGGAGAATCATGAAACTCAGTTTCAGCACATTCATAGCTCAAAATCTGAAGTTCAAAGTGTCTTTTCAGATGATGAGGACGAAGAAGAGGAAAGTAATGAACCAGAGGAAGAAAAATACATTCCTTCTGATCAAGATTGAATCTTTTGAAGAGTTTTTCTCAAAAGTTTGATGATCAAGAAAGTCATCTTTGAGAACATATATATTTGCAACACGAAAAAAAATGTTTCAAATTCTCGTTTTGAAACAAACCATTGTCATATAATTAAATCTAATATACATATGTCTGCATTTCTTTTGAGAAATATGAAACTTAAACAAATTTTTTCATTGTATATAAATTGGATACTATATATATGTTAGGAAGAAAATGTTTATAATTTTTATCTAACCATTTTTCCATGTTATTATTAAATATGTAAGCTATAATTTTTATTAGCTTAGAAGTCAATGATAAGTTTATCATTTTACTGGTTATACAAAAATACTCAAGTAAAAATGTACTTTATCATACAATTTGTATTTTCATTGTAAATAATATACAACTCGTAAAACTCGGCCTAATGAGATGTTAAGTAGTAGATGAAATGTTGTTGAATGAGTGAATCTAGGAAGTGGGACGTTTAAAGTACACTTTAAGATTTGCGTATTGAGTTTATTAGAATGGTCTTAATATATTGTGATGGCTAGTTGGACACTTGTGTTATATAGCATATAGTTAAAGGTCCAACTTGTATATGTATTTTATTCATGGTATCAAATGGTTATATAAGCGACAAAAAAATATATGGCGAGAAATAAGAAGGAAAGAAAAAGCATAGGCATCATCATATCATTTGAATTTTCTGATTATGTTTTGCAAAAGCAGTTGTTCAAAAAAAAAAATCCATAGATTGCTTTGATTTCAAGGGGATGTAACAATTAATGTGCATTTTAATCATTTAAGCCATCATTATAGATACATTATTGAGTTCTTAAATAATCATTAAAGACTCTAAAATGAAACTGTTCTCTAGAGAACTAAATATGAAGAAAAAAATATCATAATGAAAAGTAAACTTTTGTTTTTGCGATGAAAAACGAAGAAAAACATACTCCCTCCGTTTCACAAAAAGTGTCGTTCTGACATTCTTCATACAAATTAAGAAATAAGATAAAATGTCTCTTATACCCTTATTAATTTGCAGAAATGACTTTTGGAATTACATTTATAATTAATTTTCTGAATTTATTTTTAAAGTTAAAAATGGTATTTTATGTCAAAATTTACATTTGAATTCTAAAACGACATTCTTTTTGAAACAAAAAAAAATGTCAGAACGACACTCTTTGTGAAACGGAGGGAGTACATGGGCAAAGATAAATCAAGATTCGAACTACTTGACTAATTGTGAAGAATATCGACGGTAAAAAAATGTTTGTATCAAATAACCAACGAAAAATAAGTTATCCTGGCATTCACAACTCAACTCTTGTATAATGTATATATAGAAATTATATTTGAGAAAAAAACTCCATGTTCTAGTTTTTTTTTCCTTTTGGTATCGATCGAAACCCATGTTCTAGTTTTAAAATATCCAATATGAAGTGCAAGTGATACGTCACCAAAGAAAACAGTCTACCAAACAGTAGTTGAGTGCCCAAAACAAAACCAAAAAAATAAAATATATCACTTTCTTCTCCAGCGAACCGCAACTTCATATACACACGTAAACATCATTGTAACTTCACAACAAAGTCAGAAAAACACATAACACGACCACTACCGAATTATATTCTAACAAAGATTACAAAAGAAAAAATACATTAAAACAGTTGGTGGGTTGTCATTTTCATAGTATACATCAATATAAACACATACTCGTTATATATAAATATAAGTATTGTAAAAGGAAAGGCTTGGTAGAAAATGAGAGATAGAATGGAGAGACTTGTCGTGCTTCCTTTTTCCGTCGGATGTATCTCCGACTCAAGTGTTGCCGTTTTATCTCCTCTCTCTAAGCCCCATCATCATCACCCTCCTCAAGGTTCTCTCTCTCTCTCTCCATATATATATATATAATACGTATACGCATATATTGAACCGATATCTCATATTCTCATGTATCTTCTATTTGATCTCTTGATGTGTTTTCAAAAGGGATTCGCGACCAAGAGGAGGAAGAAAACATGAAGAATGTATTCAAGTTCCTCGCGGTTTCTAAACCCGAGATTTCAAACGGTATTAACCGGCTTTTCAAGAGCTTCAAGACCATTTCTCAACTCTTTGGTAAATATTATCTAATGCTTTTTCATTTCTCGAAATTTTACGCAATAATAACATTAAAAAGGATACGTATTGTCAAAATTAACACTTGGTAGACACACTTTTATAAGTTTCTGCATCATCAACATCCGAGTGCATGTGTCCATGATTTTCAAATTTATAAATTGGTTCAAATATAGTAATATGATTTATAGAGGTTTTTCTAAGGTTTTATTTTGAAAAAAAAAATAATACATTAATGTAAAAAAAATGTTAAATGTTGTAGCTTACAAAGAAGAAGAGAGTGAAGATGGGGAGACATCAGGAATGGAGATAGGAGTTCCGACAAACGTAAAACACGTATCGCACGTCGGTTGGGAAAGCGGTTTAAACGCGGTTACAGGTCCCGGTAAGGAATGGGATGATCTCATACCGCCCGAGTTACTTGCAGCCGCTGCTACGAAACAAAATGTTAATCCTCATCTTCATCCAACTTAATCATTCCTTAGTTCCCTCTATTTAAATTTATTTTTATGTTTTGTATGCGATTCTAGACATATTTCTACCAGACATGTGGATGTACAAATATGGGGAATCTAATCTTTGATATAATGTATGATATGCCGTATATATAGATTGTTATCGGAGTATATATATAATATATTGGTTAATATCCTGTGAATCTTATGTATGTTAATTGTGAAATATGAATATGACATGCGGTGTAAATTATTTTTAACAAATAAAATAAATATATTTTAGCACTTTTAAGCATATTAGCTCTATAAAAACACACAAAAATTTTATATAAGCATTCATTCAATTAAGTTTTAAATTGGATTTTTAATTTTATTTTGTCTATCTATTATATTAAAACAGAAGAACATTTAGTACTTGTTTCCAAACACTTCTAATTTTTTTTTAAGTATTTAAAAATAATTTTAATAATTATTTATATTTAATTTCGAAATTTAGTTATTAATTTAAATATTTTTAGAGTTCCTTAAATATAGGTAATTTAGATTTGATTTGATTTGATTAAAAATAATTAATCAGATATTAATTTAGATTTGATTTAAAGATTCTAATTTAAATAATTTTTATACTTTATTAAACATTTTTATCAAAAATATCTAGAATTTTTGAAAAAAAAATTCACATATGAAAAATAATGGTTATATTTGAAATATAAAATATTTATAATGATGTAAATGATATGATATTTATATTGTTTATATAATATATTTACGATAATGATTTATTTACAAATTAATAATAAAATAATAGGTAAAATTTAAATGTATAATTTAAATATTAAAAATATATTTTTTTAAATTGATAGAACTAAAAATATATATTAAAAACCAGGTTAAAAATATTTTGGTAACTAATATCACTAATTTTGAATTATACATGTATATCGAAAATATATTTTTCATACAAAATCAAAACATAAAAAAATTAAAAATTATTGCATACACTATAATGTGGTTTGAAAAACCAGTTGTATACTCCCTTTGTTGATTAAATTTTAGAAAACTATAATGCTAAATAATACTGTTAATAAATCACAAATTTTTAACAAATATTTATATTATACGGTAATATGAACGGAAAAATTAGAATTATGTTTTTATAATAGTTCATTTTGAATTAATATTAGCGAACGAGTTAAAATTATATTTTATAATCATAATTAATATTAATATTATAAAAATATATCTAAACACAAAAATCAATATTTTCACTTATTAAAAAATATATTTATAAAAATAATTATATATAAACTCAAAAACACAAATTATATTACAAAATTTGTTAAACAAGAATCTAGTTTTGTATTTATTTTCGTACTCGAGAACTAAAAACAAATCATATATGGCATTTAAGATAATTCTACAAAATATATTTAAAATGAAGAAGCTTATAATTAACTAAAAGTTTATAGATTTTACCAATTACTCTTATATACTTTTTGGCATAACTATAAATTTAACCGTAACTAGGAGTCAGGAGTATTATTTGAACAAAGAGATACTGATTTGTAGAAAGTAGAAACAGTTGGTAAGCTTAAGCCAAATCAAGTATTTGTGGGGCCTCAACAGAATCTTCGATGTTACGGAAAATTAAAAAAAAATTAATGAACTGAAAATTCTAAAATTGACTCCAGTCAAATAGATTCAGTTAACGACGGTCTAACGAAAAGCGAAATATTTTGACACGTGTCGTAATCTAGGATGTTACAAAGAAAATATTCCCTAAAAGGCTTTAACCTTTGAGGATCCAACAAAGAACAATCTAATGGCGGTTTTAAGTTAATTTCCTTAGCTTATTAACCTTTTTTTCCCGCAATGTCCAAAGAAATCTACCAGAGCTCCTAAATCTCCGTTTATCTCCTTTTTTAAAGGTTAAATTAAATTAAAATCCACCTAATGATTATTATCCCATTAATCGTTTAAAAAAAGTTTTGTTTTTCAGAAATTTTGTTCAATCAATCTATCTCTCTCTAGATTTTGGGGGTTTTGCTCTCTCTCTCTCCCTTTCATTCTCGTATTCTCTGTCTCCCAATCGAGAAACCGAGGGAGAGAAACATTGATTCGATCCAGAGACGTTACTGAAATTGATGGGTTTAATCGTGGATGATAACGACGGTGAGCTTTTGATTCCGCCGCCGAATTTCTCTATGGTCGAAGACGGAATTTACCGATCTGGGTTTCCTCAGCTTGAGAATTTCGGTTTCTTATCAACCCTGAATCTTAAATCCATCATGTAAGATTCTCTTTCTCTGTTGCTGCTGATTCTGATTCTCCTGAAGAATTTATTGTTAAATTAAAAAAAGAATCTTGTAGTCACGCATTGTTATCGTTGTTTCTTTTCCTTTAAGTTTTTGTTACTCTTAATTGGATAATAAATTTGTCGTCGTTTGCAGAATGATTTGAATTACAAAACAAGTTTTCTTTGTTGGGTTTTCTGGAAACAGTTATCTGTGTCCTGAACCATACCCTGAGGAGAATCTCAAGTCTCTTGATTCCAACAACATCAAGCTCTTCCAATTCGGTATCGAAGGCAAAACGGTATGATTTCTACTTTCTGTGCTCTTTTGATTTCCTTTCTCCTTCGTCTTTTGAGTTTGGGTTGCTGTATCCATTAAGTACAAGCAAAGGTTTATTTGCGGACTCTCGTAACCTTTTATGATTGAATTGAATATTTTGAGCTCATCAAGAACATATAAGACCCCTCTCTTGTTCCTGTCTTTAGTCTGTTGCTGGCCTATTGGAATCAATGTTATGCCCTTGATTTTCATAAGCAACAACAGTAATTGAATTGATGAATCGTGCAAGAGCTTCAAGGACGTATACACTGTTTTCATTAGTCTGGTGCTGGCTTATATAGCTTATTTGAATCATGGTTATATCCTCGATTTCTGAGTTTGGATTGTTTTACGCCCATAGGATCCTCCAACTCCTATGCCAAAGGATACAGTCTTGAGTGCCCTTAGAGTCCTAGTTGGTAAGGAATCAAAGAGAGACCCTTTGATGTCTTGTTAAGTTCTCTTTTAGATGTCTCATTACTTGTTTTGTTTGTTTGCTTGCAGACGTTAGAAACCATCCAATTCTCATCCATTGTAAACGGGGAAAGGTAATACAAACCAAACCAAACCAAACCCTTCTCCGGTTTCGTAAGCTTTTGGTTGAGTTGACAGATTTTGAGTATAATGTCGTCGCTGTATTTTTTGGCTAAGTGCAGCATAGGACAGGTTGCCTTGTGGGATGCTTGAGGAAAGTGCAAAACTGGTGTTTATCATCGGTTCTTGAGGAATACCAGAAGTGCGCGGGTTTGAAATGGAGACAAAGAGATTTGAGGTTCATTGAGGATTTCGATGTGCTCAGATTGAGGCAATGTCTGTACAGCATTATCTATCAGTACAATGGTTATGGTCTCAAGAGGAGAAAGTTGCTGTATCAAGAAGAGAATGTTGTCCAAAAACAGCAAAAACCTCAAGCCACCAAAGGGTGAAAAGAAGTTCGAAATCGGATATTATTTTTTTCACTCTTTCTAGATTTTGATTTTTTTACATTTGTCATGATGATGATGATTCTTTTGAGTTTAGGGTAGTTTTGAAAACCTTAAGAAAACAGAGGATTTGATTTGGTCTCTCTTTTTTTTTTTTCTTTTTTTCTCTTACAGTTAGTAGAGAAACTTTTATACAATGGATTCTTAATTGTTTATAAGAAACTAACAACATTGGTCGCTTTTGTTTTCTGAACTAGCCTATTGAACTCAAAGATACCATCGTTGGTTTCACATATTTTGTGGGCCTCAAACTATAGATCCATTATCAGTTTTATCGCTATACTATTTCATCAGTTTTGTCGGCCTAATACTATAGACCCATTATCAGTTTTATGGGTTATACTATTTCATCGGTTCTGTGGGCAAATTCCTCTCTCTCCATTGGTCGATGATTGTTCATCAACATCGTTAATTATAAACTAGAAATATGATTATCATCAACATTTGAGAGAGAGAGAGAGAGAGAGAGAGGAGTGAATCCATTAAAATAAAAACGGAAATATCACCTAACAAGAACTATCGAGTAAAATTTGAAATTCCACTTATAAGTAACTCAAACCAACAACAAGAACAAACACATAAAGCTATAAAGCATTGATTCTGATTACTCAACTCGTCGAAAGATAAATATGATAACATGCCCATTTTCATTTTGATTTGGATTTTTTAAAAGCACATGTGCATCCTGAAGCTTGCAGAAGCACCATGAGAACTAGAATCTTTCCTTCTTTTTCTTTTAAAATTTTTAATGAAAAGAAAACAAGAACGCATCTAACTCGTTTCAGATGCTTTGAAAGCTTGAAGTTTAAAAATGCAAAAGCAACTTTCTGCATTGAACTCAGTGTGTTAAACACACATTCTGTTTCTCTAAGCTTTTCAGACAGCAAATGCTCAGATAAGAAATGACTTAGCCTAACACATATGATCAGAAACAGAGATGCTGAGCTCCATGAGCAGCTTCTAAACAAGCATATATAAACAGACAGATTAAAACAAAGAACCAAAACCACCAGAATCAACTAGATGAGGAAAATGAACAAGAAATCAAAAGGCAATAAGTTAGAAATAGATTACTTTATAAGATAGCATCATTTGCAGTTTATATTCTCACATCAACAACTTGAAACCCATAAAAAAAGATGACAAATTTTTATAAGGAATTCGATACGAACAACACACAGACACAATCCGAATCACTTCTTCAGGCTTCCTCTTATTCCGGGTTTGGGTTTGGACGATTCAGGTGCAGCTAAAGCCTCGTGGAGGTTCCTCGGCTCCTCGTAAGGCATCTTAGGATGCTTCGATTCGTGATGGATCTGCATCGTCTTGAGATCAGGTGCAGTGATCTTGCAGTGAGGACACTCGTACTTAGCGTGACCACCTTTCTCCTTACCGGTCCTGTCGGCGAGTCCCGCCTTTCCTCCGCCTCTATTGGTCAACGCTGCATCGGCCTTCGCCTGGAGCTCCTTCGCCGTGTGCTTCTTCGGCTTCGCCTTGCCTGTCATCGTCGATTGTGGCGGCTACGAGAGAAGAGGGATCGAATTTGGGGGAAATGAAAACCCTAACCCTAATTTCTTTGATTTGGGAGAGAACGATTTGGGGGCGACGAGTGGTTCGAGGCCAGATTATTTATCTCTCGTTAAAAGTAGGAAAAAAAAATATTATAATTAAAAAAAAAATCAATAAGAATATTTATCCTCTTTTGTCAAAGACTGTTATAGGGTACGGTACGGTGCATATTAAGACTTTTGCTCCCTTTTGCTCATAGTCGTTCAATCCGCTAGCTTTATTCCTTTTTAGCACTATTAAAATGATATATAAAAAAAGAGAGAATTAAACAAAAATTTAAATAATGCAAACTGAAATATATAGTTTCAATAATTGTGGAAGTATACCAATCGTTTACTGTTTTTGTTTTTCAGTTAATTTTGTTTCTTTTATCGTTTTGTGTAACTAAAATGATAGGATCCAAAATCTTGTGTCGCAAATATATATGTAGAAATCCAAATCCAAATTAAGAGGAGGTCGAGAAAGTCGAGATAAAGATCATTGTACCTAGTTGTTGTTGTTAATAAAATGGATTAGAAACTTATACTTACATTACATAGTAAACAACTGCATCATTTAGAGTAATAGTATACTATAATTAATATCAGTTTACTATACTATATAATACATCATTTTAGTATGAGTATATAAATACGTGAATGAATATCGGTAATCGAAATGTTAAAAAATGCTGAAAACTCCGAACTAAAATCCATATCCAATGTGGATAAAATAATTTACCCATACAAAAGATTTCTTCCTTGGAGCTAATCTCTTCTGGTACATTTCAGTATGATCTCATTGAAGCAACGTGGCACTACTCAAGAACTCGAACCAACACGTCTCCATTTCCACATGCATATTCAAAATATATATAACTTTTTTTTTGTAAGACAGCGACGTTTTATTTCATGTCTATACTAGAAACCGTAGGAATCTTGAATACACCAAAACGAAAAAAAAAAGAAAATGGAAGAAGTAGACATGGACCTCAAAATACCTGACCCATTACGAGCCGATTGGTTCATGGTTCTAGTCAACATCCAAGCCGATCTCATCTACAACGCACTCGTGGTCTTAACCTCACCTCTCTTCCTCCTCTACCGCTCATACCGCCGCGCAACCGCTACTATCTCTGCCGCGGAAAAAGCGGTTAAACGCGCTCCGTCGCGGATAAAGAGCGGTGCGGCAAGGGCTGTTAGAAGGATATGGTTTGGTGTAATGGGTGCATGCCACGTGTCGATGGTGATGGTGGTGGCGATGATCGTGGCGGTTGTTGTCGGTGTCGGGATTGTGAGTTTGTATGTAGAAAAGCCTGTGGTTGTGAGAGAAAGATTGTTTTTCGATTACACTGAAGAAAACCCAAGTGCGGTTTTTAGCTTCGATAAGAGAAAGAGACCGTTTGGTGTTCCTGTTGGTCATAAGGTTCATGTCTCGTTAGTCTTTTGGATGCCTGAATCTGATCTCAACCGAAGAATTGGATTATTTCAGGTAAATACATGTAAATTCTAATTAACTAGTAATCAGGTGTTTCTGTAATATTACTTTGTCACATTTTTCTCTGTTTTTTTCTTTTCTGTTTTTAAAGTTAATTTGATTCTTGTTCTTGTGGTTTTGTTTTGTTTTGACACAGTTGAAGGTAGAGCTTTTGTCATTGAAAGGCGAGACAATAGCGAGATCGAGCCAACCTTGTATGTTACGGTTCAGAAGCAAACCAATAAGACTTGCAAGAACATTTCTGATGAGTGTTCCACTTGTTGCCGGGATAGCAAACGAGGCTCAAACAATGAGAATCGATGCGTTAATGCACCAAGAGAAATGGCCAAGGACAAAAGCCGTGAGGGCTACTCTGATTCCACGTGCATATACTCGGACATTGCCTCAGTTATATGAAGCTGAGGTCGTTATAAACTCGAATCCTCCATGGATGAAACGGATGGCTTATAACTGGAAATGGACACTCTGCGTTTGGACTTCCATGTACCTATACGTCCCTATTCTAATGACTCTTCTATGGTGTTTTAGACCAGTTTTGTTCCCATACATTGCCTCAAGAACGTCTTTGGAGATCGAAAACTCGGAGATGGAAGTCGTCGAAGAAGAAGAAGTAGTAATGGAAAGAAGATTGAGGGAAAGAAGAAACAAGCCTCGTCGAAGAACTTTCACTACGACACAGGAAACTTATTATACATAGTAACTAAGATTCTTAGTTTTTTTTTTTGTGTGTGCTCTACAGAATCAAATTCTGCTCTGTAATAAACCGGCAAACAGTAAATATAACAAGAACTAAAAAAGAGTTGAGAGTTAAAACTTTTTGGAGGAGTTTCATATTTGGATTTAAAATCTTGAAGTTTGACCCCAGAAAAAAAAAATTTCAACTTAAGGAACTACTTTCCTATAAATTGGAACTCTTTTTTGCTCCTGCAATTTTTTTTTTTTTTTTTCAACTTCTGATTTCATTACATAAAGCATTACAGTACACACAAGTTATAAAAGAGTCATTACAACCAAGAGATTACATAGTTTTTAGTGCAAATTCACAAAGGCCATTTCCATCAATGCAAATCTATTTCCTTTTTTGTTTCTTGGGTAAATAAGTTTTTTGAACAAGATTCTTGGAAATAAAATTAAATTTTCTATTAAACATTTTGACTAACAGAATCATTCTCATCATCTCGTGTATATTATATATATAAATGCTGAAGATCTTGGTTTTCTCTTTCCTTTTTAGCAAGCGATTCAATACTTGTATATAATATACCACATTTTCGGAGTAAAAAATCAATCCTATCGAGTTGAGAAAATATAAAAAAAGATGGTCGGCTCAAAATTCGTTCTTTTGGCTTTCATAGCTCTGTGTCTTCTCCTTTCCGGTTAGTAATATTCTCGTTAAATCCATTTCGAACCAACAAAAAAAACACACAGTATATTATTTTTGCAAAACCACTTCTTAAAAAAGTGTTTGCATTTACAAAATAAAATGATAGGTAGTTTACGTTGAATGTTTTTTTTTTTTTTTTGTAGGTGCTGAAACAAGAGAAATTGGGTGGGCTCGCCACACCGAACAGGATCCATTGTGTTGCATCAACCAGCAACAATTTGGAACATGTGAGACAAAAGAAGATGATCTAAGATGTGAAAAGATGTGTATTGATAATTGTAGACTGAACAAAGGTGGCGGTTGTCAACCTGTTCCTTCTGGTGCTGTTTGTCAATGTTACTGTTAAGTGTTGTTAACTAAAAATAGAATTATCATCATCATCTTAATTAATAAAGTATTAAGAAGAAAACACTATTGTTGTTTTATTTCAAATCTCAAGAAACGTATCTCTCATCAATTGGATCTTCAAAGGAGATAATATTGAGAGAGTTGATTCAGATATGAAGCATGGCATCGATTAATCCCTTAAAAGATATGGTTTGACTCTGTGGTATTAAAAAAAAGGTTATTATGTGGAAAGCATTAAGTGCATTTCATATCTTTTGATTTGTTCTATGATCTCTAAACATCATCTTCTTTCCTCTACTTGGATAAAAAAAAAAACTTTATAATCTTGAACCCATTTCTAAGTAAGGTAACATATCAAATCATATAATTCAACAATATCTCAAGCAATGAGATTCATAGGTTTTGATTTAGGACAACCGAGAAAAATACACAAACCAAATTCGTCTTTTTTTGTTTTGTTTAAACTGATGATCAAATGCAACCAAAAAAGAAGAAGAAACAAGACAAACCATGATTACTTAAACGGATAACTCAATCTGCGAGACAAGAATCCCATCAGTATCTGCATAAACCCATTCTCCATCACAAATCCGAGCTCCTGCAATATTCACCGGAACTCGTTGCTCTCCGAGTCCCTTCTTACTCGCCTTTATGGGATGAGAGGCCAAAGCTCTGACCCCAATATCACAACCGTTGATCTCATCGACGTCTCTGATGCATCCGTTCACAACAATTCCCGCCCATCCGTTGTTCTGAGCTTGAACCACGGGGTTACCTCCGAGTATTGCACATCGTTGACTCCCTCCACCATCCACCACAAGAACTCTACCATTTCCTTAATAGCATTCAAACATTTAAAGAATCTTAATGTCTCTAGTTAAAAAAGTTCAAAGCATTACCCTTTTCATCATAGCTAATGACCCATTTGCAAAGTGATAGACTGTACACTAAGCAAAGTAAGAACTAAATGTTTGTGTACTATCATGAAATCATGTCAAAGTTCATATCTTTATATATGTCCACAAGTCTCTTTGTGTCTCTGCAAGCAATGAAGTTACAAAGCAAGATTTGAACTTTTGGTTTTTACAGAATCATTTTTTCTTACCTTTCTCCTCGAGGAATTGGCGGATTAAGCCATTGTCTTCAAACACCTTGACAGTAACTACTGGGCCTGAGAATATTTGTCGACGCCCGTAAATCTGGAAAATGGGTTGCAAAGCTCGGAGCTGACCACTCCGGATCAGCTCTTGATTCGCGTCACAAACTTCCGCAGTGGTCACAAACGCCATTCTCTCCTTTTCTCAGCTCTGATCAAAAGTTGAGACTTGAGAGTGAATCAATCAAAAGTAATCTAGGGAATTTGATGAAACGATAACAAAACACCTTTCCTTGCGATAAATTGAACATAGTATATTTGACCGGCGATTTGCTCAGTCCCAGAAGGCAAGAATATAAAAAAGTAATCTGATTTTCGATAGCTTGAGTATGATCACCCGAATCTATTTATTATTTTACGGAAAACCGAACAAACCCACAATGAAGAAAAGGCAATTTTTTGAATATATTTCTGTCAAATTACCACCTGGATGTAAAAGGAGTTAGATCAAGTCTCGTTACCTGGATCAGGCGAATTCAGATGCAAAAAAAAAAACTCTTTACAGTATAACTAATTTCAGAGAAGAAAGTAGGTGTTTTTAAAGGAGATCAAAATCGAGAAAATAAAAGAGAAGGAATTTTGGTATAAATCAGATCAAAGATAGTGGTGAAGCTTAGAGAAAGGAATCATTAGATTTCTTATTTATCTTTTATGTTTTATTTTTTAGCCGCCAAGGGAATCATATGAGGTTACTTGACAATCTTGTGGTCTTAATGTCGCTTTCTCCAGCTTTTTTTATTTTTTGTTCTGTCTTCTTTCTCTTGTCATGTTGTATTCAAGAAGTAAAAAGACGAAATTTTATTTTGTATGCAAAAAAAAAAAAGAAAAGAAAAATCCCAGGAAGAGATCTTCTTGCCGGTTTTGTCAAAATCAAATGGAGTTTCACCTTTAATTATAGGGTACAATAAATTATAAATGCAAAAATGAGAAGAGGGAGATCCAAAACTTTTTATAAAAAAAGTTTAGAGCTTGTGAATGGTTTTCATGTCTGCAGCTTCAATGAGAGTTCCTTTCTCAACATGATCCCACCACTTCATCAAGAAATTGTCCACCACCAATCTAAACCATGGAGATAGTTTCACAGCTTCATCACCTGCATCTGCTTTCTTCACCAGCTCCTTGAGCTCTTCCCTGCTCACATACTTTATATCAGCCACTTCATCTGGGTTTGGTTGAACCTTCACATCCCGCACGATGAAAAGTAGATAATCAACTGCAAAAAAATATCCATAATAAACCAAAGCTCGTAGAATCAAAGAAGTGTAAAAAAGATAAGATCAAACATGAATGGTTGTTTACGTTCGTGCTCGCCCCATTTTCCATCGGAAGGTGCCTTGTAAAGCATGCGTCCCAAGGCAGTGAACTCATCGACAGGTACATCTTGGGCTACAATACCGAGCTCATCGAGAAGCTTTCTTTGTGCAGCGTTTCTTACCCCTGGTAAGGAAAGGTCAAATAGTGGGAATCAGTAGGTAAATAGATCCTCGCCAGTGAAGGCTTCGAAATGTTTCATGAAGTAAGAGCTACTCTTAAAGCGTTTCCCAGTAAGATACCAAGCACATTCTCTTCAATAAGCTCGGATTCACGGTAAAGAGGATGGCTGCAACAAGTGTTTGTCCACACAAGTGGGAAAGTAACCTTTGTTTTTGACCTTTGCTGTGAAAAGAGAACAAGAGAATTTCAGTAGAATGGTCACATAATATGAAACCCAACCAACTGTTGGTAAATAAATGTAACTATCATTTGATAAAATTATGTGATTTTCACATGCTTGGCTAAAAAAATCCCTTGAATCTAGATTATGACCCAACCTATTGCCTTAATACCGGAAGCTACAGTATCTTTATCCAAGTGTCTACTTTCAGACAATACAGAACTAGTATGCCCAACAAAAACGTAAGTTATCTTGACTATGGAAAATTCATTGGATTATGCTAGGAGCACCTAAGACTGTCATAGAGAGCATCTGAAAATAATGGTGAGCAAAACTATTTAGTATTTAGATATTGGATTTCTAAACCTAGAGCCATATTCACAACAAGGTGATCAATAAGGAAATACCTGGAGAAGCAACTCAAATTTGGAGTTGAATAAAAACACACTGAAAGCCCTATGAAGCAAATTCTCAGCTTCAATCTTTTCCATCAGATGACCTGCAGATTTAGTAAAGACTAAGGAGTCAAGCTAAATCAAACACTTTAAGAGACGCAAACTCCAACTAGGTCGAAAACTATTTTACTAAGCCACACATTCAAAGACACATCAGCGACAGGCGCATATGTTTCAATGAAAAGAAAAACAAGAAAATGGATCCATAGGCAGCTAATGTTTCCATCATTTTTCCCAAAGAAAAAATGCATTCACTTACAGTTATATTTAGTGTCATGGCCCACCACACGATCATTTTCATCAACGAGAATGCATCTGCAGAAGAAAAAAAAAGGTCTGAAATGAACAAATGGGCAAGCCACTATGTGAGTTATGAAGGAGAGACTGGATATAGATATACTCATGAAATATATCTTTGATATCAAGCAGCCACCCACATTCCATGATAATGTCGGTCCATTCGTTGCATATTTCACATTTTCCCGGTCGAATCAAGTTGGCAGTAGGAATGGTAAGAAATTCAACACTTTTTTTTTAATCTTCTAATGAATTGAGGAGAGTAATAGAGTCTAAACTTAAGATTTCTCAAGAATTTCGGATCAATGATAGATTCGTCCAACATAAATTGTGTCATTTCTAGACAAATTTGTACGTTTAGCTGCTTATTGTTCTGAAGATTTCCTGTTGTTCTCAATTTCAATTAAAAATAACAAGCTCCACCTAAATATCGAAACCTTAGTAAACCAAAAACCCAAATCAAGATCGAAGAAAAGGAATTGAATTTCTCACTCGTCCTCAAACATGAGTCGTCTCTGAACAGCATCCATTCCGGCATCGTTGGGATCAGTCATGGTGACGGCTGAGAAAGCGCGAAAGCACAGGTGAGTCCTCGCCGGAGATCGGATCCGAGAAATACGGAGAGGGGCAAACCGGGAAGAGGAAGCAGGGATCTGAGACGAAACGAAGGGAACTATATATTGGAGGCATACATTTTGATGTCTCTCTGTTAGTTTGTTTGTGTTTATTTGGCCAAAATCTGTTTCTATTTGTTTTTTCGTTTAAAGTTTAACTAATAACTAAAAAATCTGTCCTTCAATAACCCCATAATCCACTTTTAGTATACGTAGTGAAGTGGCATCTTATTATGCAATCGAATTCATATCCTACATTTTCAATATATACTAAATTATGACAATCAATTTTGTGGATGGACAAAACCAAAAAAAAACAAAACAAAACCCCTGAGCTACCATAATTTGGTCAAGTTCTTCTTGCTTCTGGAATAGGTTAAAATTTGGAGATCTCCTCTTCTTTACAAGGCTCCATCTTCCCCCATCAATGTATGCTTCTTGCATTTGGAGTTACTAATCAGCATTGATGTTCAAGACAGCGGTCACATAGCTTGAACCAGAATCACAAGCGGCTTGAGTCAGTGCCTTTCTTCCCTTTACTTCATCTGCCATACGAGCCTTTGACCCTATTTGTAATATTCTCTATTGTATCTTAATATGTAAAGCAATTCATCTTATATGTCTCGAGAACATCACTTTCCAATGTGTATATAAACCAAAGTCAAGACTCAAGAGTAAGATAGATACCTTCAGGAGATCGATCGATAGCCTTTTCAGCATTGAGTTAATGATCAGAGTCTTGGTTCTTCAAGAGGCAGAACTTTCACGCAACAGCTCTTCAAGAACCACAACCCCTTTATCTAGTTCACCAGCAAATTTCTTCAAGAAAAGTTCCCAAGATTCTTTATCGACCTTCCCGCTCATAACAGCCATTGATACAATCTTGATCGCATCCTCTTCTTTCCCTAACTTCTGCAACCCCTCGAACAATATCAAGAACGTTGTTTTGTTAGGAAAGCAACCCTTCTCCAGCATCTCTTCAAGAACCCTGACTCCTTCTTTAACATTCCCGTTCTTAGACAAGCCTTCGATCAAAACGTTATAAGTGAAAGCATTCGGCTTGCATCTCCTCTCAACCATGTCGTCCCATAACCGACCCGCCTCAGTCAACTCTCCCTTCTCGCACATCCCAGAAATCAAAGTGTTGTACGTCAAGAGACTGGGGATCGAGCCTTTCTCAAACTCGTCGAACAATTTCCTCGCCTCTGAAACTCTCCCATCTTTGCAGAGCCAATGTATGAGAGTGCTCAGAAGAGCATTATCAGGCATACAGTTGTTCTTCAGCATTTTTCTCCACAGGCTACACGCTTCATCTACCTTATGGTCTTCACACAGCGCGTCGATAACTTTACAGCAAAGTGAAGAATCTGGCACGAAACTTCTGTCAATCATTTCATCCAACATGTTTCGTGCTTCCCCAGCTTTCTTCTCCTTGCATAAAGCTCCGATCATAACTCCATATGTCACTTCATTTGGCTCAATCTCGTTCTTTTCCATGTCATCCATCACCATAGCCGCCTCAGAGAATCTCCCTAACTTACAGTAACCATCCATGAGAACAGTGTAAGTGGTCGCATCCGGATCCCAGCCACGATCCATCATCTCTCTCAAAACCCGCTTGGCCGCTTCCATATCGCCTCTGGCAACGTAACCACCTAGAATCGTAGTGTAAGTCACCAAATTTGGCACCAAACCCATGGCGGGAATTTCGTCGAGCACTTTAAATGCACTCTCTATATCATTCTTCTTGCAGAGAGCCTTGACGAGTAGATTACAAGTGAAGATGTTGGGCGTGATGCCGAAAGACTCCTTGCAGTTCTTAAACATGGCATGAACCAAATCGAATCTCTTGTTCTGGATTAGAACGTTTAAGAGCGTGTTTAGCGATCGAACCGAACGTTTCACGCCGAAATCAGGGATCCGAAGGAAGATCCTCACAGAAGATTCGTATCGACCCGCGAGGCCGTAGTTTCGGAGCAAGTCGATGAAAAGATTCTCGCCGCATTTGATCGGCGGGTAGGAGCTCCGAAGATCTGCCAAGAGAGGCTCCACGGGATCGAAAGCACGAGCACGTGATAGTTTGAAGAGGATGGAGTGGTAAGTATCGTAATTATGAGTGAAACCGGGATGCGATTTACCGGCGTAGAGAAACATCTGGAGAGCGAGATCGATGTTCTGCTGTTGGGTGATCATGGAGACCAACCTCTTCGGGAATAGCCTCTGCGGCCAGGGTTTGATCGGCGGCTTCTCCGTGTAGTATTCCAGAAGATGAGCGGCGGAGAAGAGGCGAGAAGCGACTAATGGCTGGATGCGCGTGGAGATCACGCGGGGAAGGAACATCGTTGCCGTTTTTTGAGCGGCGGCGAATCTACGAGAAGATATTTCATTGGGGACGAAGGCGACGATATGATTTTAAATTTGCCGGCGACTTTTCCAATAACCGGAGACCCGGTTTGGCTATTACCGGTCTCTAATGGTGATAAAATCGTCGTTATAATTGAAACAGATTCAAACATAATTCTATTGGGACAACACAAAACCGGACAATTCTTGGCCTTACATTGTGTGGACGGAATATTGTCAAATTTGTATAGAATAACGTAAACACCCCCTGAAGGTCGTCTCTCTTCGTTATCCACTTGAGGGTATTATCGACCTCTCAGCTAAAATCTCACGGATAATGATAACAACACGAGATCCCCAAAACAAATCATTGTCCAGTTGTCTAGTACTCAAGTCTGAGGTTCCTTTGAAGATCACACTCTGAAATTCGAACCAATTAATTTCACAGTGTGTCTCTGTGTGTGTTTTGGACTCGAGCTTCTTCAACAATGCCTCTCTCTCTCCGGATCACTCCATCTCCGACAACTTCCCGTTACTCTTCGGCTTCTGCTACCGGCGGCGGTGGCGGTGGCTTTTCCCCTGTGAAGCACTACTGCCGGATCCCGAATTCCGGCGTCCCGAAGAAAAGCGGATTCTGTTCGGTTGGTGGTGTTTTAGATTCGGGGAAGACGATCGGATCCTGTGTGGTGAAGTGTAGCTTAGAAACAGTGAATGTCAATGTCGGCCAGGTGACGGAGGTTGACAAAGACACGTTCTGGCCAATTGTTAAAGCCGCCGGTGAAATGATTGTTGTCCTCGACATGTACACTCAGTGGTACGTTTCGATCGCAACTTCTTGTTGATAGATTTTGCATCAATCGTTGATTCGTTGGAAACTAGTGTTTCAAAGGCTGTTTAAATAATTTTGGGACTTTTCACTTCAAACAACTTTGCTTCTTTGGTAAATTGCTTACCTGAAAAGTGAAAACTTTGCTTGGCTAGTCCTCATGTCTTCAATTCCCAATTCTTGCTACGACATGATCATGTCTAATAAATGTCTTATCTTTACTCTAGCTGGTCTTGTCTTACTTTGGTTCTCACATTTTGTAGCTTCCATAGTTTAGGATAATACTTGATCGCCTTGCTTTCATCTGACTTTGGTACTTTCAATTGTATTCGAAAGTTACAGTATCTTTTGAGTTTGCGTCATTCATTTTTAGTTTGTTGGGAATGCTTGATACAAAAGGAATATAGTAGCCACTTACCAGAAAATTAGTGTATGTACATTGAATAAATAAGCCTGGAAATGCTGTTCCACTTCGCATTATCATGAATGTTTGAGATAAGTTTCTCAATAAATGTTTTGTATTGGTGTCTAGAGAAATCAAAGTTTTGCCTTTTCTTTTTCAATCCTTATGAAGGCTCTCTGCAGGTGTGGTCCTTGCAAAGTAATGGCTCCCAAATACAAAGAGCTATCGGAGAAGCACCAGGACATGGTGTTTCTTAAGCTTGACTGCAACGAAGACAACAAGGTTTCTTCTTCTTTGTGTGATGAACGTGTCTTTATACTAATATATATTGTCTCTCAACACAAAAATTCTTGCTTGCAGCCGTTGGCAAAGGAACTAGGAATTAGAGTGGTTCCAACTTTTAAGATCTTGAAGGACAACAAGGTGATAAAGGAAGTGACTGGAGCAAAATTTGAAGACTTAGTTGCAGCCATTGAAGCGGCAAGGTCAGGCTGAGTCTCTCTCCCTCTATACATATATATCACTCCTGCTGTAAAGTATTAGGATCATTCTCCATCTTCATGTAATTGGTTTGGTTCTATGTATGTAAACTCTCTGTAGTTCCCTAAACCGGAATCGGTTTTAACTTAACAGTGTATGTATAAATGCTCGAAAGTTGTGAAATGTGATGAGCTAAATGTCTATGTATCATACGTTCATAACCAGTGGTTTGGCTAATATTCATTGAGGTCAATTTTGCACAAGCTTGATGACTTAAATTTGGGGGCCCGATTGTTGAAAAAAAGGTGCATCGTGCTCATTTTTTGGCGTACATGTATGATGATGCATGTGCTTTTGTTTTCAATGGATGTTCCAACTAGATTGTTAATAAGTCTTAACTTCATTTTAGTTGTTCACCAAATCCAACCTGGCCTCATATTTTAGTTTTAATTTACTTGGCATATGTATATTAGGCTAATGTATTTGGATTTATTCATCTATATTTTTTTATATAAAATTTGGGGATATTGACAGCAATTTAGTATGTGAAGGCAATTTGAAGACTGAAAGTAAAAACACATTTCTCTGATGAATTTATAAAATTTATCTGTGAAGAATCGGAATTTTTTTTAAAAAAAAAAAATAAGTAGATGGGAAAATAGCCGACAAAGAGTTAATGAGATAGAAAAGAGTTCAGAAGGATCGGGTAATACGAACTACAGATCACCGAATGACACGTGGCGAAATCCGGAAGCAAGTTATAATCGTGAGAAACGCGATCCGAGCGAGTCTCACATCTCTCTCTTTCTCTCTGCATCTATCTGGAGTGAACTGTTCAGCTCTTTGGTTTCATCGAGAGGCCTAAAACCCGATCTGCACCAAGAAGAAGAACAATGGCGTCTTCTACGTTCTCCCTCACGTCTCCGGCTGCTTCCGTCAACGCAGTCACTCAAACCTCGTCGCAGTTACCTCTCACAACCCGCTCTCGTCTCCCTCGCAGAGTCTCTTTCCGTCTCTCCGCCAAGCCTAAGCTTCGCTTTCTCTCCAAGGTATGCGGCTCCTTCCCACTTTCTTCTCGATTCGTGCAATGTCAGTTTTTAGTTTTCGTGGGTTTTGGATAATCTCCATCTGCGCAATTTTTCCGTCGATTTTATTCCCAGAAAGTTGTTTTGTGCATTTTCCGATTCGGTTCCACTGTGTATGTTCGGCCTAATTTAGAATTCAAGGAATCATTTTCCGAGAAGATTCAAATTGCGATTTCCAGATTTATGGGCACTCGTGATTTGGGATTTTCTCCATTTGGCGGCCTTCTTTTAAACTTGATAGAAATCATTCTTTTTTGTGATTATCATTTTTTGTGTATCCCATATGAAGTTTAATAAAATTTTGTCTATCTGTTGGTATATGAATTTGCAGCCTGGTCGCAGTACCTACCCTGTGGTGAAAGCCCAATCTAACAAGGTAAGCTCTTTGATTACTCATCTCTTTGAAAAAAAAAATGCTTCTCCATAAAATTTGTTCATTTCTGGACTCTCCTCCTGTCTTTAAAGGTTGGTACCGGTGCATCATCAAATGCTTCAGCTCCTGCAAAAATTGATGGCCCATCAGCTGAAGGAAAAGATAAAAAATCATTGAAAGACGCTTCATCTTCTTCTTCACCTGATTTAGCTACAGAGGAGTCTATCTCTGAGTTCCTTACCCAAGTCACAACTCTTGTTAAGTAAGTACTGCCCTGTTCCATTCCTTAATCGTGTAAACCAGGACTATTTTCTAACCATGCTTTCACCTCCATCACGCAGGCTTGTGGATTCTAGAGACATCGTCGAGTTGCAGTTGAAACAACTCGACTGTGAACTTGTCATTCGAAAAAAGGAAGCTTTACCTCAACCCCAATCCCCTGCACCTTATGTTATGATGCAGCAGCCAAACCAACCATCTTTTGTGCAATCAATGGCTCCTCCTCCTGCACCTGCTGCCTCACCAGCACCTTCTACTCCAGCCTCCCTGCCTCCTCCATCCCCACCTACTCCTGCCAAGTCATCGCTTCCTACTGTTAAAAGCCCCATGGCAGGCACATTCTACCGCAGTCCAGGACCTGGTGAACCACCCTTTATTAAGGTTAGGATATTTGCTAATTTTTAGTCCCATAACTGTACAGAGACTTTAAGTACCTCCTCATTTGTAAATAGCGTCAACAGCAAAAAAGTTAGTTTCTTTACTTTTCTGAAGTTAAAACATTCGGTTTTCGGTTGAGGTTAAATCGTCTCACTTGGCTAAGGATAACCCAGGTAGCTGTTATGTGCTGAGCACACTTGAAAGAAGAAGAGTGAAAACGATATTAAATCTATTAGGATAGTCCAATGGTTGTGTCATAGCTAGCAATTTTCAACGCAAATTCATGCCTGCTGCATTTCACTGTCTGGATTAGTAGTATATGACTTTCTTGCTGCTTTAGGTTGGAGATAAAGTGCAGAAAGGGCAAGTTCTATGCATCGTTGAAGCCATGAAGTTAATGAATGAAATAGAGGTGAGTTCTTAAATCTTCTGAACATGACTACATCCTTCTTCGTCTTTATATATCTGAATTATATATTTAGTATTTACCTTTCTTTTGGAAAAGCCTGGGAGTATTATTTTTGATTTAACTCTGATAACTTCTTCTCCTCAGTCTGACCAATCGGGAACTGTAGTTGATATCGTTGCAGAAGACGGCAAGCCTGTTAGCCTCGACACTGTAAGTTTTCACATTTCTCTATCTTTACTAAAAGAAAACACTCTCTCTCATTCAAGAACCACATTTTTGTGTTTTTACTAGAGCTAGTTTTTACGCCTTCACAATTTCAGTTTGAAAAAAGATCTCTTCTGACATCAATGTTCGTTTTGTCCTGGTTTTACAGCCTCTGTTTGTGGTTCAACCGTAGAATCGGCACCATGAGCAATGGAGAAGAGAGGCTACTGAATTCAATCTCTGTGCTTTGGTAAAACAATTTCTTGAGAGTCTTAAGAGTGTGTTCTTTCCGTTGCTACTGTGAAAGTCTTGTTAGGTTTTAGTTTGGTGAGGACGAATGAGTTTTTAGTTTCTTATTGGTTACAAAAGGATGAGACATTCTTTTTTTTTATATAAGCTCTGTTTTATTTCTTTCTTTTTTAATCTTTATACACGGATTCTTATATCAAAAATAAATCCTCGGCGGCGTGAGCTGATTATTCATTTGGACTCGGCCTGCTCCGTACGCCGTAAGGGCCCAACCTTATAAGCAAAACAGAACATTTGATATTAATTTTTCTGATGATTATTAATGAACAGTAATGAAACTGATATAACGAAGAACTCTAAAAAGTCCAAAGAATTTAATTAATCTCTTTCTTACTTAAAAGAAACGGAATTTGTTAACGGAGGAAACTTCAACCGCTTTCTTCTTCTTCTTCCTCAGAGAAATCGAGAACTGTTCTCTCTTTTTTCTTTGACGATTTTTTTCTTTCGATTTTACTCAATGGGTACTAGTCGAGATCTCTACGTCCTCGTCATCGCTCTATTCTTCTCGATTCTCTTCCCTGAGCTTTCCTCGCTGCCGGATCCGTCGTTTTACGATTATCTCCGGGAGAGCGGTCTTCCCGCCGGCATAGTTCCGAAGGGAGTCACCAACTTCTCGATCGACATCAAAACGGGGCGTTTCACAGTCGCTCTCCCGGTTCCCTGCGATGCCAAATTCGAAAACCAGTTCCACTTCGACTACAACATCTCCGGCGTCCTCTCCGATGGCCGGATCGGGAATTTATCTGGTGTGACGCAGAAGGAGCTGTTCCTGTGGTTTGCTGTCAAGGGAATTCACGTGGATCCAGAGAGCTCCGGGTTAATCCACTTCGATGTCGGTGTCGCCGATAAGCAGCTTTCTCTCTCGCTCTTTGAGTCGCCTCGAGATTGCAGCGCCGCGGAATCTGACCTCCATACGGTTGGTCTCTATACACCCCGTGATTTAAAGGTACCTTGTTGCGGTTTCATGAGCAGAATTTGGGGATTTTGTTGGTCATTCTTTTTATTGGAATTGCCAGTGTCAAATAGCTAGGGTTTTAGATTTTCCCCTACTTTGTTTGAGTGAAAAGAAAGGCAATAACGTAATCTGTTTTTAAAAAGATACTATATTTATCTTTGTGCTTCTATGGAGTCTTTTGAATATTAGCACAATTCTGAAAAAGAGAAGCAAGATTGCCTCTGTACTAGGAAGAGAACTAGCACATTAAATCTTCTTCGAACTACTTGATTCTTAGAGTCTTCATATATGAATATTGATAAATATTGTTTCTTCGGAGATGATTTGAAACTTGTTGAGGTTTAGGAATCAATGTTCTCATATTGTTCACTTTACTCTTTTCAATGCAGAAGGAATCTGGAGATATCCAATCGATCTTTGGACCACCAAGGAATCGCTGGACAGTATCATCGTAGGTTTTCTTGATTTAGAGGCTTAGAAGGAACTGCAAACACCCCTGATGATGTCTCTGGTATGGTGTGTCTTGTAAAGAGTTTGGCTTGTAGTTTTTTTTTTGTGTTATACCATATCATAGTATCAACAGTATAAGCTTCAGTGACTACATCAGACAAACTTAGGAGGCATGAATACCTTTTGCTTTGTTACAGATTAGGGGTTATAAGACATATATATACATATATGCTTGTGGATTTTTCATCAGACATTGTTGTGTTTTGTTATCACTCTCTTTTCTTGGATTTACATTGTAAAAGAAAATGGGAGCTGATCCCGATGCATGAATCGTTTTGTTTCTGGTGATTTGATGTTGAATTCACCAGTGAAACTTTGCTTTGAATGGAAGGTGCATATAAAATTGAGAATTTTGAATGTAGAAAAGAGACAAATAGCAGATTAATTCACTGAATGATGTATCAATAGTAGTACCTATCAGTATGTAGAGCGAAATTTCCAAAGTCTTGCAAAATCATTGTTTTATTATGAGACGACGATGATGTAGAGAGGATTTATGCACACGCGCCACATGCGCTCTCCCAGCGATAAGAGGTCTTTTTCTCGAGGAATCGTCTTTTCATTTCAGGCGTGGTTTTAGTGGAGCCTTCTAGACAAGTATCAGAAATCGGGAAGGTACAAATGACGAAGAAAAAAACGAAGTGTGAAATGTAAAACCTTAAAATGTTCCATAGACAAAAAGTACGTGAACGGCAGGATTCGAACCTGCGCGGGCAAAGCCCACATGATTTCTAGTCATGCCCGATAACCACTCCGGGCACGTCCACATGTTGTTGACTTACAAGCTGCAAAACAAATCTATCATCTATGGACATGGTCATCTCTTTCCGCTCGTCACAAGGACAGAGCAAAACTGAACCAAATAAGTGATACGTCAAAAGGCTATACGTTTATTATTCGTACAAAAATGGTGAGATTTGAACATTTCCAATAGTAATTTTACCGCTAAGTAGATCAGGTCAAAGACTAATGCTTCGTAGTCAAATCATTTATTCATTTTCATAATATTATAAGATTCCGATTGGGTTTAAGATCTGTAACCTTATCTTCATTGTCGTCACCACCAAGGTGTCCTAGATAAACACGAAACTCTTTTCTTATAATTTTTAAGAAAAAATTTAAAAGGAGTCGAAACTAGGAAAAAGAAAACAAACATTTTGCCACTCGAAAGGAGAGAGCTTACGGATGGAGCAAATGAAGCCAAGCGCCGCAAACTCGCCGCCGTTGACGCCGTTAGGTTTCTTGGAGAGAGCCGCCACCGTGTACGGTGATTGTACCTCAATCGTTTACAGTCGTAACACTGTTTACACGTGGCGGGAGACAAACCTGCGTTGCCTACGAGTTGCGTCATCTCTGTCATCAATCGGAATCGGCAGGTTCGACGTCGTCTCCGTCCTCTCTCCCAATACTCCGGCGATGTACGAGCTTCAGTTCGCCGTTCCGATGTCCGGCGCAATCCTCAACAACATCAACACGCGTCTCGACGCGCGCACCGTCTCTGTTCTTCTCCGCCACTGCGGATCTAAGCTTCTGTTTGTCGACGTCTTCTCTCGCGATCTCGCCGTCGAAGCGATCGCGATGTTGACTGATCCGCCGATTCTCGTCTTCATCGCCGATAATGAAGAGGAAGGAGGCGCTGACGTGGCCGACCACACCAAGAAATTCAGTTACTCTTACGATGATCTAGTCGAGAGAGGGGATCCGGGTTTTAATTGGATCCGACCCGAAAGCGAATGGGACCCGGTTGTGCTAAATTACACTTCCGGTACGACCTCGGCTCCTAAAGGAGTGGTACACAGCCACCGGGGAATTTTCGTAATGTCACTTGATTCACTAATCGATTGGACCGTACCGAAAAATCCGGTTTACTTGTGGACTCTACCGATATTCCACGCCAACGGATGGAGTTTCCCATGGGGAATCGCTGCCGTCGGAGGAACTAACGTCTGCTTGCGTAAATTCGACGCGCCGCTCATCTACCGTTTGATCCGTGATCACGGCGTCACACATATGTGCGGAGCTCCGGTGGTGCTCAATATGTTATCGGCGACTCAGGAATCTAAGCCTCTTAACCATCCCGTCAACATTTTAACCGCCGGTGCTCCGCCGCCTGCCACCGTCCTCCTCCGTGCCGAATCAATCGGTTTCAACATCAGCCACGGATACGGATTAACGGAAACCGGCGGTTTAAACGTCTCATGCGCGTGGAAGCCACAGTGGAATCGGTTACCGGCGAGCGATCGGGCGAGGCTGAAGGCAAGGCAAGGAGTGAGAACCGTCGGGTTTACGGAAATAGACGTGGTGGATCCTGGATCGGGTCGAAGCGTTGAGAGAAACGGAGAAAGAGTCGGAGAAATTGTGATGAGAGGAAGCTCGATCATGCTCGGTTACTTGAAGGATCCGATCGGAACAGAGAAGGCTCTGAAGAATGGGTGGTTTTTCACCGGAGATGTTGGGGTGATTCACTCGGATGGGTATTTGGAGATCAAGGATAGATCGAAAGATATAATTATAACGGGAGGAGAGAATGTGAGTAGCGTGGAGGTTGAAGCGGTTCTGTACACGAATCCGGCGGTGAACGAAGTGGCGGTGGTGGCGAGACCAGACGAGTTTTGGGGAGAGACGCCGTGCGCGTTCGTGAGTCTGAAACCTGGGTTGACTCGGAAACCGACGGAGGAGGAGATAATAGAATATTGCAAGACGAAAATGCCAAGGTATATGGTGCCTAAAACGGTGTCGTTTCAGGATGAGTTGCCCAAGACTTCGACAGGGAAAGTTATGAAATTTGTGCTCAGGGAGATTGCGAAGAGGATGGGTTCGACGAGGTTGAGTCGGATGTGAACCATATGGGTTAATTTATGCAAATTTGTTATATTAAATGGTTATTGATGAAAACTGTAAGACCATGTTCAACCCTGTACCCATCATGGGGTTCTTATATATTTTTTATTAATATTGTTTTGAAATCTTAAAAGTTTATAACTTTTTGGTTTTTTCTACCTGCAACCCTGAACTTCTTAAAAGGTTTTGAGACAGATTCTCCAATTGAAACTCGATAGAACATGTGTAAGCTTCTTTCTCATTCGTGCCATTGTAGATCATCATCAATCATCATCATCTCTCTCTCTCAATTCTCTGAAACACTGTTTCTTATTTTGTTTCGTTGAATCAGATTACGAATGTGGATCACAATCCCTAAGATCTACCTTCACGTGTTAGTGTTTTATTCCGACGGGATTGATGTAGAACGTGGATAAAGAAAGCAGTGGAGGCGCCGGGTCTGACATGGATGAGGGATAACCGGAGACGATTCGACGACGTCAATGTCTCGCTGGGTTTTCGATAAGAAGAATGATTATGATGATGATGATTACGAGGGATATGACGAGCATCGAGAAGCAGAGATGGATTCCGATGAGGAGGACGACAATGTGGAGCAGCGTTTGATTCGAACTAGCCTTGCCGTTGACTCTTTCAATGTCGACGCACTTGAAATCCCTGAAACTCAGAAAAACGAAATCGAAGTTACCATCTGCCACCAAGTTGAAGAACGAAGAAGAGTAATATAAGACAATGGTGGGTTTTCTTCATAGTGTTCGATATAGTCGAGAGAGTGAGAGAAATGGTTTATCCAACTTTTTTTCTTTGTCGAATGAAATCAAGACGCGTCATAAATGAACCTCTCTTAAAACAGGTTTTAAAAACTCTAATATAAGAACCGGTTTAAGACAGTTGTAGACTTTTTCAATTAAAATAAATCCAAAAAAACCTTAAAACTCAGCCTATGAACCCATTAGAACCTTGCTTTGGACATGGTCTAATAGCTTCTTATAATTGGTGACATGTTTGTCCATATAACTTGGTTTGGTGCCATATATCTCTACCTTTTCAAATCAAAGTAAATCAGATTCACTAAACAGTAAACAACTCGGTAGCTCCTTCTTAATAAAGTTATAACATATGGGCAGTCATATCTCATTTAATCCACGATAATGCTTTCACAATAAAAAAGTGGAGTTTTTTTTGGTAAAAACTGAATCTCTTACTGGAGCACACAAACCAAGCGAAGATTGATAAACTAAATATAATCACATACATAAATGATCAAATTTACTCCAATATCAGCTAAATGAATGTCTCAGAATGCAATGCAGTCCGAAAAATATGAAACATGCTTTTGTCATGTAACAAAACCTAGTTCTCGCAAAGACTCTTATGTCAATTTTACATTGTATACCTTCAAAGAGAAAACCTCCTACTCATATGTCTGAATTATTTGCTTCACTTAGAAAGCCTGAGACGTTAATGAAGATTGATGCAAAGAGATAGAAAAACCCTTACTTATTTGATGACAACAAAAAAACCCTTAATTATTTAGCACAATGGATAAAGATTGATATAAAAGTAGAAGCATTTAGATTCATACCATGCTTTGCAGAACATATCTACATTGCTCTTCTGATTAGATTGATGTTACACAATCAGAGTACTGTACAACGGTTTTATTAGCCAACCCGGTGGATAAATACTATTAGCGAAAAAAAATAATGTTTGGAGTACTATTAGCTAAAAATGTGCTGCCGTCTTTTAACATGTGAGAATGATAGATGAGCAAAACTTTTTTCCATCTTGTTATATAATCAAAGAGATCGAGAATTGAAATATCTTGTTGTTGCCCTTGTACAATTTTGACCAAGCGCTCATTGTCACCTTCAAAAATAATTGAAGCAAAACGTAGCGTCCACACATTTTGCACTGCACACAAAAGAGCTTTACCCTCAACCTCCAAAGCTGAAAAATCGCTGTCCCTAGTTTAGCAACACCCCAGAATTGAGCCACACTGTGGTTATTACGAACTATCCAACCGCCATTCGCCAACTACCTTCCTTGAATTGGGGTAAAAGGAAACGTCATAATTACACTTAAGGATACCCACAGGTCACAACAGGACGATTCTATTTAGAAGCAGATGATGTACGTTTTCGTTGTTCTTGATTTGTTGCCATAAGTCACTCATCTACATCTGCAACAGAAATTTTTACATCCTTTTTTAAAAATTAATTCTCTGTTTGCTGAAGTTTAAATTATTTCAAAATTTCCAAATCCTCCGCATAATCCATCAAATGAGTAATTTCCATTGGATGTTTATTTTTCACTATTTTTTTCTACCTACGTGGATAAGATGCCGATTGGGTTTCAGATTTCCTTATCTTCATTGTCGCCATCGAGGTGTCCTAGTTAATACACACAAAAAACACGTTTCTTTCTAAATTTCAAAGGAGAAGAAACTAGGATTCGACCCAAGAAAAAAGGAGAAGAATCTAGGAAAAGAAAAAACATTTTGCCACTTCGAAGTAGAGAGCTTACGGATGGAGGAAATGAAGCCATGCGCCGCAAACTCGCCGCCGTTGACGCCGTTAGGTTTCTTGGAGAGAGCTGCCACCGTGTACGGTGATTGTACCTCAATCGTTTACGGTAGTAACACTGTTTACACGTGGCGGGAGACAAATCTGCGTTGCCTACGCGTCGCGTCATCTCTGTCATCACTCGGAATCGGCAGGTTCGATGTCGTCTCCGTCCTCTCTCCCAATACTCCGGCGATGTACGAGCTTCAGTTCGCCGTTCCGATGTCCGGCGCAATCCTCAACAACATCAACACGCGTCTCGACGCGCGCACCGTCTCTGTTCTTCTCCGCCACTGCGGATCTAAGCTTCTCTTCGTCGACGTTTTCTCTCTTGATCTCGCCGTCGAAGCGATCGCCATGTTAACAGATCCGCCGATTCTCGTCTTCATCGCCGATAATGAAGAGGAAGGAGGTGCTGACGTGGCTTACCGCACCGATAAATTCAGCTACTCTTACGATAATCTAATCGAGAGAGGGGATCCGGGTTTTGAGTGGATCCGACCCGTGAGCGAATGGGACCCGGTTGTGCTAAATTACACTTCCGGTACGACCTCGGCTCCTAAAGGAGTGGTACATTGCCACAGGGGGATTTTCGTAATGTCACTTGATTCTCTAATCGATTGGACCGTACCGAAAAATCCGGTTTACTTGTGGACTCTACCGATATTCCACTCAAACGGATGGAGTTTTCCATGGGGAATCGCCGCCGTCGGAGGAACTAACGTCTGCTTGCGTAAGTTCGACGCACCGCTCATCTACCGTTTGATCCGTGATCACGGCGTCACACACATGTGCGGAGCTCCGGTGGTGCTAAACATGTTGTCGGCGACTCAGGAATCTCAGCCTCTTAACCACCCCGTCAACGTTTTAACCGCCGGTTCTCCGCCGCCTACCACTGTTCTACTCCGCGCCGAATCAATCGGTTTCAACATCAGTCATGGATACGGATTGACGGAAGCCGGCGGTGTAATCGTCTCCTGCGCGTGGAAGCCACAGTGGAATCGATTGCCGGCGAGCGATCGGGCGAGACTAAAGGCAAGGCAAGGGGTGAGAACCGTCGGGTTTACTGAAATCGACGTGGTGGATCCTGGATCGGGTCGAAGCGTTGAGAGAAACGGAGAAAGCGTCGGGGAAATTGTGATGAGAGGAAGCTCGATCATGCTCGGTTACTTGAAAGATCCGATCGGAACAGAGAAGGCTTTGAAGAATGGGTGGTTTTTCACCGGAGATGTTGGGGTGATTCACTCCGATGGATATCTGGAGATCAAGGATAGATCGAAAGATATAATTATAACGGGAGGAGAGAATGTGAGTAGTGTGGAGGTTGAAACGGTTCTGTACACGAATCCGGCGGTGAATGAAGTGGCGGTGGTGGCGAGACCAGACGAGTTTTGGGGAGAGACGCCGTGTGCGTTCGTGAGTCTGAAACCTGGGTTGACTCGGAAACCGACGGAGGAGGAGATGATAGAGTATTGCAGGAAGAAGATGCCGAGGTATATGGTGCCTAAAACGGTGACGTTTCAGGATGAGTTGCCTAAGACTTCGACGGGGAAAATTATGAAATTCGTGCTCAGGGAGATTGCGAAGAAGATGGGTTCGTCCAGGTTGAGTCGGATGTGAAACATTGGGTTACTTCTACGTGAAATTTTGTTAGAATAAATGGTTATGGATTTAAACGGTGATCAGCTTATTGAATCGCTTCAATTTCGCTTAAAAATTATGTCCACATTTTACGTCCGTACGAAATGGCATTCGGATACGAAACCAAACCAAACAAAACTGAACCGAAATGGAATCTATCCGAATTGAACCTTGTCAAACCGAATCTAGGAAATTAAAACCGGAAAGAGTGAAGAGTGAAGACACAGTCACACTCGGCAGGAGAACATTTCTGGGTCTTGCGGCGCATTACCATTTGCTGGGTCTGGAGAAGATGGGATTGCTCTCTAACCAGATTTCCAGGGATGAGCTGAAACCAGGAGATCACATATATTCATGGCGTACCGCTTATATCTACTCCCATCACGGTTCTCTTTCTTTCTCTCTATGTACAATACATGCAAAATGCTTTACTTATTACAGCCCTTTTGCATTCAGTCAATGCTCGCCCGATCTTACTTGTTTCTGGGTTTCTTCCCTCATCAGAAATTCGCGTGGAAGATCTCGTTGCAGTTATAGCAATTATTGAAGGCAAATCGGACCACAACAAAAACAACAACAGCAAGTGTAGTTAGCTAATAACACTTGCTCTGTGATTATGGATGTTTGATGACTGATTGTTTTCGTAAGATATATTCTGCTTCTGCTTTGTTTGTACTGTGTGGAAACTGTATTTTTAACTATTTAAGAAGAAGTCTTCTAGACATAGAAAAAGCTGAACTCCATGGAAGATTGTTAGACAAAGAAAAAGAAGAAGAAGAAAACTGCAAAAGAAATGGAGGAAAGATCAGTTTTGTATTTTGATTAGTTTGGCTCTGGCATCATACTCTTAGCTGATCTGGAATTGGTCTCCCAGTCCAAATTGAGCCATCATCGATAACCAAACAAAGCTTATGACGATTTGTCTCTTTTTCTTCAAACTTGAATGTTGTGCAGGATCAAGTTAATTTGATTCTTTTGTTTTTTGTTTTTTGTTTTTTTGAATGAAGTTAATCCGATTTGTTGAATCGTAGAACTCTATTTTTTGTTGTTGGCATGATGGATACTGATCAAAATTAACAGTTCTGATAAACCAACTTATGAAGTTTCCTTGACTTTGCTTTTATCCAGCCAATAAAGAATAAACATTCAGACGTTAAAGGAAAAAAATATATAGTTGACTTTATAATTTGGTTGTTATCTTTTTATTGTCAAAAACTTTAAAATTTGGTAGAAAAACTCCCCAAAATAATCCAGCAGCAGAATCAGAATGGAATCCCTTCTTCTAGAGAAGATGGGACTATTCTCAAACAAGATCTCTATAGATAATTTGAAACCAGGAGATCACATCTATTCATGGCGCAACGCTTACATCTACTCCCATCACGGTTTCATCTCTTTCTCTCTCTCTCTCTCTCTCTCGATCTAATCAGTTAATTCTGGGTTTTGTAGAAGATCCCAAAATTGGAGTTCTTCGAATAACGCGATTTTCTTTGTTTGCAATTTCTCCATAGGAATCTACATAGGCGATGGGAAAGTCATTCATTTCACTCGCGGAGGTGGTCTAGAGACCGGAACCGGAACTTTCTTAGACAAATTCATCGTTAGCTCAATCCCGAATCACGGAGGAGACAACCCTTGTCCTAATTGCGGGAAGCAATCCGATCTCGGTGGCGTAATCTCGTCTTGCCTTGATTGCTTTATCGCCGGAGGAGATCTCTTTCTCTTCGATTACGGTGTCTCTCCGGCTATCTTTATGTCCAAACTCCGAGGAGGCACCTGCACGACAGCAACTTCAGATCCTCCCGACCAAGTAATCTCCCGCGCGAAATCATTGTTGTCGAGAAACGGGTTCGGTGATTACCACGTTTTCGAGAATAACTGCGAAGATTTTGCCATGTATTGTAAGACGAGTTTGGTGGTTGGCAAAAGCTATGTGTTGGGAAGAAGCGGTCAGGCCAATTCGGTGAGTGCGGCTGCGTGCGTTGCAAGGATGCTTAGTCCTTGGGCCAGCAATGCGATCCGTCTCTTTTCCGACATTGGTATGAGGAACGACGCTGTTAAAGTCCCTGTCGAGAAATTCCTTGCAAAGGAAAGCTGACTTTGGTTTTTTTATTTTTGGTTCTGAGCATTGTTGATTCATTATTTGTTCTCTAAGGGGGTTGAGTAGAGATTCTGCTTCTGCATATTGTTGAATTGTGGAACTCTATCATATACTAATTTACAGTTTAATTGAGTTCTTCAATGTTTGATTTTACATTTCGTGTATATTTTTGTTTTGGGAAACCGTATAAAAATACATTTGCGTTTGACGTTTGCACATAGCACAGTAATTCGTCTCTTTCGTATAGGAAAGCAAAGCAACGTTAGTGACGCGATATGACCACGCAAAAGATGTGATGAGTTTGCTTCTCTGTATCTGTAACGAAAGGGTAAAATGGTAGGGTTTGTTTTGCTTAATCAGGAAGGAAACACGCTTTTCATTACCAATAAAGTATTTTTAAAATATAAAGTTATTAATAATCACATTCAGAGGTAAATTAATGTTAACGAATGAACAGGTCAAGTTGACGAAGAAAGAAGAGAAAATAAGAAAACCCAACTCATTAAGCAAAATCGGATCTTCTTCTTCTCTTCCTCTCTCGCTGTAACTAGAAGATGGGATTATTCTCTAACAAAATCTCCAGAGATGAACTCAAGGCAGGAGATCACATCTACTCATGGCGTTCTTATATCTACACCCATCACGGTTCCATCTCTTTTCTCTAGCTCGATCTAAGTTATTTCTGGGTTTTTGCTCTTGGAAATTATCCAAGATCCCAAAAAAAATTGGGGATTTTAATTTCTGGGGAGTAGGAGATGAATAAAGCTGAGATTTTTGTTTTTACAATTCACAGGAATCTATATGGGCGATGGGAAAGTCATTCATTTCACTCGCAGAGGTGGTCTAGAGATTGGAACCGGAACTTTCTTAGACAAAATCATCGAAATTTCAGCTCCAAACCGAAACCCATGTCTTAACTGTGGAGATCAATCGAATCTCGAAGGTGTAATCTCTTCTTGCCTTGATTGCTTTCTCGCCGGAGGAAACCTCTATCTCTTTGGTTACAATGTCTCCAAGGCTATCTTTCTCGCAAAACAACGAGGTGGTACCTGCACAACAGCAACTTCAGATTCCCCTGAAGAAGTCGTGTCCCGTGCGAAATTCCTCTTATCGAGTAATGGGTTTGGTGTCTACGATCTCTTAGACAACAACTGTGAAGATTTTGCAATCTACTGCAAAACTGGTTTGCTCGTGTTGTCAATCACCAAGCTGGGAAGTAGTAGCCAAGCCAATTCGGTGTGTGCGGCGGGTGGTGTTGTGTCTTTGACACTCAAGGTTTTAGGTGTCGGAAGGAGTGGTCAAGCAGCTTTGATGGCGTCTCCGGCTTCGGTGGCATCTGCTGCGAGCAATGTTCTTTCTTCGACGCTTGGTTATGCAGTCACTGGTTTTGGTGCTATGGCTTTGGCTGGATATGGTAATTACTGTATTGGTCGTCTGGTTTACGACGTTGGTGTGAGAAAAGATGTTCGTAAGGTACCTGTGGAAGAGCTCGTTGTGATTCTTGCAACCATGAAAGGCAAATTGGACAATAACAACAACAATAACGACAACGACAAGAAGTGTAAAATTACTTAGCAGTTGTTTTGGATTCCGGCTTGGGACTAATTGTTGAGTAGAAGAGTTTTATGCTTTTGCTTTGTTTGTATTGTGGTGCCTGTATTATTAACTATCTATCAGATAAGAAAATGCTGTTAATAACATTATCATTGTCTCCGTTTGATCAAAAAAAGAAAAGAAAAAGAAAAACACTATCATTGTCTCCAAAGTCTTCTGGACTTTAGATAAGAGCTGAACTCCATGAACGATAGAGGAAGGAAGAATGCTGCAATAAAACAGAAGTGGAAGAAAACTTGCCTACAATCATTTTAGCTCTGACATCTCTTTATATGGAATTGGTCTCTTAGTCCAAAACTGAGACACTAGTCGCCAAATTAAGCTTATGAGCTATCCACTTTTCTGTTGCTGAAGTAGGGAAAGCGGAAGTTTTAATTATCTTGAAATAATTTAGAGTTCAATGATCAACACTAAAGGTGAGAAATTTGTTCTCCGATGCTGTATCCGGATTGCATTGTTAATGCCCATGTGATGTTTGTCAAATTCCCTAGAAAAACAAATTTGGAGTTCGCCGAAAAACATAATCAGGAAATACGCAAAGAGTCGTTGATTTTATATGTTCTCAATACACAAAATATCCTGTATTAAGAGGAGCCAAGTCCAGAGTCAGACATCCATAGTTACATTGATCTTTACCATCATTCATTCTACAGAGAGGCTTTATTTCTTGAAATTCTGCTGCTACTGAGAATAATAAGCTGGGTGATATTGACCTGGCAACACAAATCCATTTTGCTGCCCGTAGTAAAGAGATTGAGGAGTTGCAGCTGAACCATAGAGCCCAGCTAAAGGATTCATGTAAGGGACAACAACTGGATTCACAAGACCAAAAGGGTTAAACTGTGAACCATGATGGCTAGCTTCTGGTACACAAAATGGCTGCTGAGTCGGAACTGGAGCTTGTGTCCCACTGCGATCACGAGGACGCTTTCTCCCTTTTTTTGGTTGAGGCTCTTGCTGCTGATTGGCGGCGTTGCGTTTCCTCTGCGCCTTTTGTTTCTCCAGCTCTTCTACACGCTCCTCGACTTTCTCCTGTGAAAACTCTGATTCAAGGTTCTGATCTTTGATGATCTTGATCACTGCTTTCAATGCACTGACTTCTTTATCAGTGGCTTCGTTCTGTGACTTGAGAGAGTGGTTATCTTCCACGCAGCGTCTACGAGCAGCTTCTCTAGAGTCTTTGATAAAAGTTTTCAAAATGTGGATTGGTTGGAATCGATCACTCACCCCACACTCATACATGAATTTGACTGCCAAGATTTGTTTGCCAGAATCCAAGAGTTTCTTGATGAGACTTGCAACTCTTTCGCTATCTAAACAAATCTTGTTACACACCGAAGTTGCTTGCTTGTACTTGGCGATCATGAGAACGTAACCAGAAAGCTCCTCCGAGCTGAATTCAGATCCCAATTCGAAAGCTGCGACCAAATGCAGAAACACTAATGCCTCGAAAGGCTTGGCAACTATCCTCCGTTTCCAATCGCACGCTAGTCTCTTGGCCCTCTCTCTCGTATCAACTGTGATATTCGCATCAATCTCAATCAAAGCTTCCATTAACAAAACGAAGACCCTCCTTACATCAACTGATTTCCCCGATGATGAAGGAGTGTGATTCTTACCCTCGATTGCGTCAAGCACCATAGACGCTGGATCCGAAGAGGAACGTATCGCTGCAGAAAGCTCCAGAGTAGGAGGCGCGTCGTCATCCCAATTATCAACCAGAAACTTGGTCAGACCAATTCCGTCCATCGTCTCACACAACGCTCTTAGCTCCGGCCGAACAGCCGGTGCCTCCGACGACGACGTCCCTGCATCGGCAGTTACGAGTCTATACGAGTCATTTGCCAAAGGCGAAGAAGATTGGAGGAGACGGAAACGTTTAGAGAGGGAGGCTTGGAGAGAGGAGAAGTGTGAGTCGATCTCAGACCAGGAAAGCGAGAAAGACGGTGAGAGGAGAGAGCGGTGCGCCTGAAGATCGTCGAAAGCTTTCTTCAGCTTTTCCTTTTTCTCATCAATGCCGTTTATCGCGGCGGCGATCGTTTCACTCGCCGTCATCGATGAGGCCCTAGGTTTTGCTTTCACCGACGATCGAGAACCCGCCGATTACTATATTTATACCCAAAAAATGGGTAAGACGTAAGATTAAAACATCGGTTCGGTTCGGTTATTTTAATAATAAGTAGAACCGAATTTCTTAGTTCGGTTCGGTTATTTTAATGATAAGTAGAACCGAATTTCTTAGTGTGGTCTTAATTTTAATCAATGTCAAAAGTTAATTCGTTAGATATGATTCGGTTTATTATAAATCAAACCGTCTGGAATGGTTCAATCGCGTTTTCGATTCGTTTTATAAGCGAAGTCAGAGACGGCCAGTGTAGAGACTCTCGAGTCAACCAGTTCTCAGCGAGACGATGAATTCAAAGGAGGGAGATTAGGGAACCCTTGAGAGAGAAATCATAATCTCCAAATCCAGTTCCATCTTCATTTGTTTCTTCTCCTTTTTCTAGGTTTTTTGTGCGCGGCGAGTCATCGTTAAATCATGTCTTGGCTCCCTGTAGAATCTGATCCTGGTATGTTTTATCTTCTCCAATTTGGGGTTTTTCTTTTTTTTTTTTGTTTTCGGCTTCTGACATTAAATTCCATGTCCTGCTTAACTCTTCGTAGTGATATATGTTTCTCATTCCCCAAGTTGTAGATTGTGTTTGGATTTATACATTGATGATGATGTCCGGAACGAGACTCAGTTTCTTCTTCTTTTTTTTTTTTTGTGATAATGGAGCACTATATAGATTTACTTTTGATTTTGAGTAAAATTAGAAGCAAAAAAGTGTTGAAAACAGAAAGTGATGCTGATCTCCAAAGATTAGTGTCTACTTTTTCTCTATTAGAGTATAGACATAGCTATATTTGCAAGACACAATGTCGCAATCCGGTTTGTTTGGTTTGTAATTTTGCGGTGTTATATGTTTAGGTGTTTTCACTGAGATTATACAACAAATGCAAGTGAAAGGAGTGCAAGTTGAGGAATTGTATGATTTGGACATTAACTCTCTGGATGAAATCAGGTACTTTACTAGTTACTCTCTGAAACTTCATTTTCTTGTTTTGAAAAGCAGAAGATTCTTTACGACAAAATATTTTTCCCGGAGTTGTCTGATATATTATGTCCTGAACACTTGCAGACCTGTATATGGATTGATATTGCTTTACAAGTGGCGTCCGGAGGAAAAAGAGAATCGTTCCGTAATCACGGAACCAAACCCCAATTTCTTCTTTGCTAGCCAGGTCACTCACTGTCCACATTAGATTCCTACACTTATGAGGAGCAAATCTTAACCTTTTCTAGAACCATGTGTGTTTGTTTGCAGATAATCAACAATGCTTGTGCTACACAAGCGATATTATCCGTCCTCATGAACTCTTCGAGTATCGAAATTGGTACGGAGCTATCAGAACTGAAAGCATTCGCCAAGGACTTTCCACCTGAGCTGAAAGGTTTAGCCATCACCAACAACGAAGCAATACGTGCAGCTCACAACACATTTGCCAGGCCTGACTCATCTTCCACCACCACGGAAGAGGAAGAGTTAGCTGCTGCGAAAAACGAAGACGAAGTTGATGATGTGTATCATTACATCAGCTACTTACCCGTCGATGGTATCTTATATGAGCTCGATGGTCTTAAAGAAGGACCTATTAGTCTTGGACAATGTCTCGGTGAGCCAGAAGGAATCGAATGGCTCAAAATGGTCCAACCTGTGGTCCAAGAGCGGATTGACCGGTATTTGCAGAACGAGGTTCGGTTTAGTCTCTTAGCTGTGGTTAAGAACAGGAAAGAGATGTATCGAGCTGAGTTGAAAGAGTATCAAATAAAGCGGGAGAGGATTTTGCAGCAGGTAGGTACTTTGCAAGCTGATAAATACGCCGAGAAAAGCAGCTACGAGGCTCTGGATAAATCTCTTTCGGAAGTCAATATCGGGATCGAGACTGTTTCTCAGAAGATTGTAATGGAGGAAGAGAAGTCTAAGAACTGGAAGAAAGAGAACATCAGAAGGAAACACAACTATGTCCCTTTCCTCTTCAATTTCCTCAAGATTCTTGCAGATAAAAAGAAGCTCAAGCCTCTCATTGACAAGGCTAGACGTAGCACCTAAATCCGCTTTTCCCGGATATTTATTAACTCATGGCCGCATAACTATATGTATGACGTTTGATTTGTATTGAGTCTGAGGATTTTTGTAGAATCAAATCTCTTACTTAATTACATGTTCCTTATAACAAAAGACAGCATATAAGAAACGATAAATCAAACACTATTACAAAACTTGTTCTCTTCGTTCATGTAAAACCTTGTGTAACAAAGGTATCTCTAGTTTTTAATTCATGAGCTCAAATTAGCTTCTGCGTCATTCATAAACTGATTGCAGAAACTCGTCATTCATAAGCGGAGATGATTAATCGGACCTGGTGGTTGTGAAGGAAGAGAGTAAACCAGCTGCTTGAGCCGGTATTATATCGCCAAATGTTGACATAGCGGCTGCTGATCTATCCTTGAATATTCCCACTTGTCCATCAGTTAGTATTGATCCCAGTTTCAATGTGCTCTCACCAAATCTACTACCAGCCTGAAACATTTGTTATCACATGAGCTTGAGACATTAAACATATTACGAAATTTTTGCGCCATTAAGTAACCGAAGACTAAACCTTACCTGCATGAAAGACTTTAAGAACGGGGAAGCCACACCGAAACTGGAGTTATCGTCCAAATCACTCGCTTGAGAAAGATTGCCGTTTGTGAATGCATTCCATGAGTTTCTTGACGAAGCTTCATTTGAAGTTACTGGAATAGAGACCTTATTGCTACTTCTAGAAGACAGAGCCGGAGCGCTGCGTTGACCCGAATCGAAGACTTTTAATATGAGAAACCATTTTTCCAAAATTCTATTCCAAAAATTCAAAAGAAGGCTGCTTTGTGGAGTGTGCCCGCTACGCGTCTCTAACTATCACTCAAATCCCTTCTAAGGAGCCAGCCCTTTTTAAATTACAAATGCTACAAACAGTTTCTGGTGGGGAAGAAGAAAATCTTACCTTATGGGAAGGTATTTGAAGCGGGGAACTGTGGAGCAAGGCATGATATTTGACTCTGAGTTAGTCGGTAGTTTCTGCGCTGTGTCTGTGTACATTCGGTTTAGTTGCACAAAGAATCCAAAGAGTACAGCGTGGCGTAGGTATGACTGCTTTTCGTTCTCCCAAAGATAAGGCTCGTACCTTTTTTTCACACCAGAGAATCAATGAGAACAATAAATGATTATGAACTTAAGAGCAGATTAACAAAATTTCCACAAGCCAAAATCGTAAAGATATGTCTTGGGAAAAGTTTAGGGTTATCCTTACGTGAGCCAGTCTATGGGATCTAACTTTTGGGATAGTTGAGAGATCACCGCATCAATGCGACCTCTATTGACTGACTTTATCTTCTGTTGGTCCTGCTTCCGCCTAAAAGCCGATCTATTCATTGTGCTCTTTGGTAACTCCACGCTGGTGCTTGTATCACCCCCAGAAAGAACATCAGATGCAAATCTCAAATCCAGCAAAATCTGTAAAACTCCTTTCTCTGATATTTGGGGTTCGTTGGCCTCCCTGGCAGATAAGAAATCCTCGTAAATAATGGTGATCTGCATCGTACAATGGAAGATTGAAAACAAAACAAAATCATTCTTATAGGCAATCACCAACTTGGAGATATTCACTGATGAAAGGGGAAAATGTGCGAACAGGAAAACGATTATCGAACCATTCCTTGCCAGAGAGCAGACTTAAAATTTACAGAGCAAAACAAGTATACATAGACAACAAACGCACCTTCTCCAACAGGCTTGAAGCAAATTTTTGCAAAATTGACTTATCAAGTACGTGACCCCCAATTCGATGAATTTCTTCTGATGCCCGACAGAGAACTGAAATTATATAGAGCGAAGGCAAAGATGGAAGTGATATCTTCAACTCAGATTGACTTTCGCCCTGCTCTTCCTCGACTATTGTCTCTTCCCAACCCTATATTATTCTTCAAAGATGAGTAAGGACACTACAAAATGAACCTGGCATATGATAATCGAAAACACAGGAGGACGTATATACTATCTCATTAAATTTTCGAAGAGTCTGGAATTATTTCCACCAAAAACATAGAAAGCGAACAACTAACTACCTATATACATTTAGTCAGCAATTTCTTAAATCAATGCAGGAGACACAGCTAGCAGAACGATATATAAGACAAGGAAATGCAGACCTGTAGGAGCGTAAACATAAACTAGCAACAAAGCAAAAAAGGAATAAGGATAGTTTTTAGTTACCCTTAAAGGAGTTGTAGCAGACAATCCATCATCATTCCTAAGATCACGCAAGAAAATAGCTGAAAGCTCATAAGATAACCACTGTATCCACAATGTATGAGCCTTGATGCACAGATCTCGCATTGTTCTATTAAGTTCTTCAAATCTTGGACTTGTCTTCTCTTCTGCTCCAAGTAGTGCAGCAACAGCTAACGAAGTCTGCTTTCTTAGATCGGTGTGAAACTGCTTTCCAGGGCTGTCAGGAGTGACTGCAGTATTTGAGCCAAATCTTGGTTGCCTCAACAAGGATGACAACTTATCAGAAACTGCAGTCATAGTTTCTCTACACCACAATCTTGGTGAACCGAGAATTAAGGGAACGTGTTTTGAGTGGTTAAGCAATGCAAACAAAAGGCGTCCCATAAAAAGAGATTTCTCAATTATTATAGCAGGTGGAATTGCTTCACTGTCCTTATTGTCTTTCTTCATGGCAGCACAGAGAAATTCGAGTTCTTTATCGACATCTGCAAGAAGTGTTGAGACACTGTCATAACACCTATTCTGCACGTATGGAGCAAGATCCTTTAACCTCGGACCTGCCTTTTCCGACTCAAAGAAGCTTAGGAGGTCTTCCAAAACACTCTGGCAGCGCTTATCAACTGCATCTCTCATTTGGCTGACTTCAGGACCAAAGTACGCAGTTAGACAACTTTGGAAGTCGCTTTCTTCAGGTGATGATTTATTTCCGGCAATAAGACCAAGTTTCTTTGCGTTAGGCTCAATGAACCAGACACCACCACCTGTAGAAGGTCTATTTAAGTATGCTTGGAAGTTGACTTTCTCACCAGTGATCTCGCTAAAAGCATGAACCGACTCTGCCACATTGACAGCTTTAGCCAAATCCTCAAATCTGGAGTCAATAATGGATTTCATTCTTTCCACAAACGCCTTCTCAAATATTTCATCCCATAGGTTCAAATCGTCTGCCAGAACAAGCTCCCGGATTCTATTCCAAGGCTGCTCTATCTCAGACCCAAAAACACTTTTAAGCCATTCTAAGCTACACCTCAAGACATCTTTGTTATCCATGGTCTCCCTTATCAACTTTTCGGCTGACCCAAGCTCTGCCCCAGTGACAATAGCTTCAATCAAATGCTTCCCACTAACCTTACCAACAATCTGTTCACCGCATTCCCTCAACCAATTCAGGCAAGCCTTAGAAATGTCAGTTTTATCAAGGATGACCATGACGGATTCCAAATTATCTCTGAATGATTTCCACAACCCAACCTCCTCATCTGGATTTGGAATTCCACCAAACAGCTGGGAAGCTGGAGGAGTACTCAAGATTGTCTTATAAAACAGAGGCATATCAGTCAAGGCTTGCAAAAAGAGTTCCCCAACTTGTCCTACTGTAACCTGAATCACACTCAACACATCACAAAATACTGAGACGACAGCACCGGCATCATCACCAGTACAAGCATTCAGCTTTTGCAGAATCCAAGTTTTCCTTGAGTCGAGAAACAACTCAAGCACTTGCTTTGGATCAAGCTCATCAACCACCGCAACGGCAGTTAAGGCGTCCACGTAAGCCCCCAATCCTAAACCCGGATCCAGAAGCCGCTCATGGCTCCTCTGCGAAATCTGAGCCTTGAAACTCTCTACTATCTGCCATTGGTGCTCCAATAGTGGGAAATTAGCCAACAGGTTACTCTGATCCACCTCTGCAACACCGCCACATCCATCCAACTTCACCAGTCTCTGCTGTACATGCTGAGCACGCATGTACCTCCCCGCAGCTTCCAGAAACATCGACTCATCAAGGCATCCCCATATGTTCTCCGGTGTATCGACCAGATACTTAACCCGACAAGCGATCCCATAGACATTGACTCGGGCTGGGCTAAGGCTAGCAAGCTCAGGAGTTTCCGCTACGGAAGAGGAGGAAAGCGATCGAATGTTACCGTGGATCGATGACATATTGGTAGAGATCGACTCACACAGTGATTTCATGTGCACGATCGAGTCAGCTGAGTCGATTAGATCGCGGTACCTAGTCCCCACGAGTTGCCGGAGCTCCTCTTTCTTATCCTCGATGTTCTTCCTAGTCGCCGACTCCACATTTCGAATCTCCGACATTGGTTTCGTGCGAAACAGAGACTCCGCATCTCGTTGACCACCTCCGCTACTGCCAAGACTCACGGCGGAAGACCGGTATTCCGCGGTGGAAGCCGATGACATTCTCATGGTTTCGCGCGCTTGCCTTCTTTCGTGTTCTCTCTAGCAATCCATCATACCTTCCATTGACTGAATAATAAGGGAAACAAAGCGGATCTGAGCGGATCTGGTAAAGCTTTGCCTCAGATTCAGAAGTATAAATCCCGCAATTAAGATCTGTCCGAGTTTCTGCTCCCTGCCATTGCCGTGAAGAAAGACGACGAGAAACTAAGCGTTTCCGCTAAGATTACGACTTTGCCCTTGTGTGGGTTCGCAACGGAAGAATTCTAACAAAAAAACAAACCGGTCCGGTATTGCAATTTTAGTATGTGTGTATGCTAAATTTAATTCATAATTGGTTTAGATTAGATTAGATGCTAAAAGAGTTTTTTTTTTTTCTTTTTTCTTGCCATTTCTGTGACCAAATTGATACAAGACTTAGAAAGCTAGTAACAAACTGATAAACTGGAAACAGTGGTTTAGATTTGAGAAAAGCATTCCACACTAATTTAATTTAACCAACATAATCTTACAATTATTTATTTAGTTCTCTAATATAAGTCCTCCTATAACAACAACTCGAAACGCCATGACTCGCGAGGAAGAAATCAAACACACATGATGGAACAAGGTGGAGTCCTTGACTAGTTTCCAAGAACGGTGAAGCTTGCGGCAAGTCCTCTGCACAAGAAGATCGTTTTAATATAAGTCAGATGATGATGATGATGCGAAACGACAGTGCATGATGATGCATCTTTGATTGTTAAAGAAGATTATGAACCTTTTGGAACTACAAAGGAAGAGAGTATCCACGAAGGTAAGTCGAATCCACTCCAGATTCTCTTACCAATGCCACTCTTCCTGTCCGAGCCACCTTCAGTTCTCAAAAAAAAAACACACAAACCATAAGTATCGCCAAAATCAGGAGTCAAACGCAAAAGCTATTGCGGTTGTGAAAGAGAAACGTAAAGAAAAAACCTCGCAGATTCCATAGACCTCTAACTGCGTTTGTAGTGCAGCCATTTTTCTGATATCGCCTGTAACCTGCAAACCGATGATTTATTCAGCTACAAACCCTAGATCGAAACATCTTTTCTTTCTTTTCTAAAGTAGTGAGGAGCACAATGCCATTACCTCAAGGGTGATTGTATGATCAGAGACATCAATGGCTTTAGCTCGGAAAACTTGAGCGATATCAAGAACATCTCTCCTCGCAGTAGTATGAGCAGCTACTTTGATGAGCATCAATTCTCGCTCCGCAAATGGCATGTGAGTTATGTTTTTGACCTAGATTACACAAAGAAAGGGAAACATTGTTAGACCTATAAACCGAAAACAAAAGTAGTAGGGTTTAAAACCATTTTGCTTACCTCATGCAGATCAATCAACTTCTGAAGCTGCCTCACCAATTTGTCTATATTTTCATCAGTTCCAGGGATAACTGTCGTGATCCGAGATAAGCCCTCTTTCTCAGCATGACCAACAGCTAGACTCTAGAGCAAAAAAAGCGACAACTTTCTCATACTCTTCAGAGAAAAAGAGGAGAGGAGTATGCATTCACATCGGTGAAACTAAAAGCAAAAGCGTCTGCATAATAACCTGGATGTTATAACCTCTCCTGGAGATAGCACCTGTTATTAGATTGAGAACTCCAGGAACGTTGGTCACAAGTATAGATAACGTGTGGGACCGGAGACCACTCGACTGCAACAAATTAAACAACTTTACGTTCATTTTGACCTCAAAATGAAAATTCTATTAAACCAATGCAGTAACCGAGCAATGTATCTTACATCTTCGTCGTAGACCACACCCCAATGAGCGTCAAGGACCGGTTGGAAATTATTATAGGGCTCCACTGGATAGACGTCACCCTAAAAACAACGTCAATCCACAGTTGCTTAGATATGTAGAGGAGAAACAAAAAATATTAAGCTAAAGTTGACTATACCCCAGATGATGCGTTGCCATTTCCAGTCAATGCTAGTTTTGTTTTCTCTGCAACATCTTCATGAGACGATTGTTTTGAGAGATGTGGGTATGATGCCGCTGAAAATCTCCAAAATGGAGCAGTTTCTCCCATCTTTTCTCGTCTCAGAGCAATCTAGAGTTAAACAGTAGTATACAACAACGGTTAGGAACGACAAAAGTTGATTCTTGAAATTATTCATTATAGTGAAACACAGAAATTGACTACATGGAATAGTTAATGAGCCATAATTGAGATCGATAATGAGTTTTTTTAAAAGACGCTAATATGTCTTTTAAAAGTTAAACTAGAAGTTTCATGTAAAATTAACTCTACCATTTCGAGTGTCCTGAGATTTACCAAAGACAGTTGGGTCCGTGTCTTCCAAGTGTGACATTGCAGACAAACATAAAATAAAATAAAAACTACAAGTGGAAACAAGTATTGATACTTGTGAGTCCAACTGTTCAATGAAGCTTTTCAAGACAAGAATAAATAAATTAAAGCCCACAAGTGGCTGTAAGTTGTTGACAATTAAGAAGGATGGAGCAAGTGATAGTTCCTTTTGGATTTCAAAGATTACCTTCCCCGTTCTCGCGATTTCTAATATTCCAAACTTCTCTAAGTTCGTCTTTAGTGCAACCATCTTTCCCGGGTCTCCGGTTACCTAGAGAATGATTAAAAAAAAAATGGAATTATTAGAACCTTCCTGGCCATCTGATATGAGTTAATATAAACTGAAGAAAAGGACTGACCTCGATCGTTAGAGTGTGCTCCGAGGTATCAACGATTTTTGCTCTAAAGATATCCACTAACCACATGATCTGTATAGTACATGGAAACATTATAAATATAACCTTCTTGAAAACTTATAAAACAGTTTCTAGATTCTTCAATTTTAAGGCAAATCGAGTAATCATAAGAAGAAGAAGAAAAAAAGCCCCTTTACTGTGACTCAGGACTCAGTTAATAAAAAGGAAGAAAGCACCTTTCCATCCAACTTTATCTATATCCTTGAGAATTTAATGCAATTCGACTAATCATTAGAAGAAGAAAAAAATCGCTCTTCGTGTGACTCAATTAATCACAAAGAATAAAAGCATCATTTCATCCATATCCTTAAAGTTTTTCCAGTGTGACTGAATTAATCATATCAAGAAACGGACTTTGACCATCCAACCAATATTGAAATTTAAGTACCAAGTGTAGTTCATTCATGCAAGATCAACTATCTTTTACCTCTGAGCGTGTGGTTGGATCAGCGTTAAGTTTAATGAGCATTAATTCACGTTCTACATGTGGCTCCTTGGAGAGATCTTCAACCTGAACAGAGCATAATGAGTGCAAGATTAGGGTCATGATTCATGAAAGTATAGATTAGCTAAAGCAGTAAGTTGTAGCAGAGAGCTACAATAAAACCTTGATGACATTGACGAGTTTGTTAAGCTGTTCTACTACTTGTTGCAAGACTTTGTCTGTTCCAAGAACAACGATAGTAAACATAGCCTTGTCTTCGTTCAATCCCACAGCGAGGGACTCAATATTGTATCCCCTTCTCGCAAACACTCCAGCTATCCGGTTTATTATTCCACTCTCATCACCCACAAACACCGAGATTGTATGCCTCCGTACTCTACAAACCAATGGTGAGATTTCCAGTCAAAACACATTAATCATAGCTGTATCACTGTAACCGACAAGAAAAAACTTGTTGACCAGATGAAACAAAGCCTCGGGATGTTAACTAAATCCACATAGGAGTATAAATTTTATATGATTAGGCCATCTTTTTCACGATATATGGAACCAGAAATGGCATAGACACAAAATTAGGTTCATTAAAAAAAAAATTATCTGAACTTAGAGTCAAGGTTTTCTAAGTATATTGAGTTGTTTGAGGGAACTATCAAAAAGATTGAAACTTTCTGATCCACAGACACGATTACCAAAATATTTTGAAGATTGAAGATTTCAGCCGTCAAGTAGTATCAAATGAAGAAAAATCAAGTTAAGACATTTCCACTATTCATAGAGGAAAAGCGGAATCGGAATCGTCTTTGATGTTGACCACATTTTCGATTCAGATACTGGAAAAAGGGAATATCTAGAATGATACTGAAAGACAACATCAAACACTGTTCACGTAAACATTGTTAGGCAAAACAAAAACTAGATAAAAGCCATGTTTTCGGTTAGAAGTGTAGAAATTGGAAGCGAGACAAGGAAAGAAACGAAGAACGTATTTCAAATCAGCGAAAACGAAGCTGCATAAAGAAAAAAAAAGTCTCAATTTTTTGTCGACCCATCAACGAAATTAACAAGCGTTTTGACCAGCAAGAAGTGCACCTATCACATGCGGTGGAAAAAACAGGCTGACCAGTGGTGACGGCTTTATCGGTGGAAGCGGCGGAGAGAAGAGTGGCATTCCTCATCTTCCTCCCGTCAATGATTTGGGCTACTTGCAGGGAGTTTGGGGTTTTCGCCGGAATCCAATACCCCTTGTTCTGATTCTGGAAATGAACACGAGATGAGTACAGTGAAGCAGCCGTAGCAGTCGTAGTCGCCGCCATTGCTGGTGGGAGAGTAAGATGGTTAGCTGTGAGGCGGAAAACAGGAAGGAGAAGACGAAGTAGAAAAAAGAGAGAGTTTTTTTTCTTCTTTTGGTCGTAAGAGAGAGTTGGTGGGCTGCGAGTGGTAGAGAACTTTGAGAAAGGTTTGGTGTTTCAATAACCCGGGCCAATACATATAATAACACTCTTCCGTTTTGTTTCTTTGTTTTATTGGATGTTTTAGGGATCCGTTACTGTAAAAGGTCTATAAATTACTAATATTAAAGTTTGATTAATTTAGTTTCATAAATAAGCAAATAACCTGATGTCGGCCAAAAATAATAATGGGATTGCAAATAATCAAATACAAAGTATACGACTTGTTTGTGTCTTTATATATTTGTAGTTGTCTTTTATTTACTGAGTAAACAAATGTTCAGTCTTTGTTTACAAGTTAAATGATTACCAATTTTACCATTCACATCTTTTATTAATCTAAAAGCTTTCACAGCTCACGACGTGGTTTTTGTTTCTCTTATAAAGTATCTTTATATTCTTTTTTTTTATAATTTATGTAGCATCACATGTCTTTATATTTCTAATTCGTCTTTGTTTACATTATATTTCTAACAGTCTTTGTTTACTAAAGTAAATAGTCGTTCAGTCTTTGTTTGCTAGTTAAACAATCGTCTTCACCATTCCATTATTCGAAAGTAACAAATGAGATAAAATGAAACGAGTAAATTAACATGTTGTCTTTTGTACCTACTAACTTATTTAGTGGTCAGTGGTCACATAGTTTGCATGAATCGGACATCGTATGTCGAACATAGATGTAATTAGTCGGTATCAGAAACAATTGTTTAGAACAAGTTAACAAATTGTTAACAAAAGTGAAAATAAGTGAACAACACAAGTATTGCAAACATGTTTTTTTATATAAAAAATAATAATTTAAACATGTTTGTTAACCATATACAACTTGATACATGTTTAATCTACCCAACCTTATCTTTGATCAATGGACCTCTTTGGCTATTTGCTTAAAGTGTATGAACTTCATTTGTGTATCCGACATGTTTGCCGGCCTAGTTTCATGTAACTACTTAAGAATCGTTATAGACTAGTTAGACTTTCCTCTTTTCAGTAATCAATTTATGATGTGCAAGTCAAACTCCAAAAGTAAGAAAACAAATTGGTGCATCTTCATTTTTGAGAATTTCCAACTCCTCCTTCTTTCTAAATAACGCAGCACGATTACAATTTTTGCCTAAATAAAGGGGCAATTACATAAATAAACAAATTAAAAGATGCATTTTGTTTTTTTTTTTTTTTCTTTTCACGTCGCTCGACTCTCCTCCAATCGACTTTGCCTACATCTCTTCCTCAACGTCGATCTCGATCCCGATCACGATAATCCTTCATTCTCCGGTGAATTCACCGTGTACGCTGCTCTCTCCGTTTTGTATATACATACTTAACCATTTACCGAAATCTTCAATCCTATCTCCATCAACTCCGGCTGCTGCCGACGACGACGTCGTAGCTCTGATTGGCTGAAAAGGAGGAGATCTAGGTATTGCCTCGCACCGCCCTCCGAAATCTATCGGAGCTGACGTCGGATTAGAGAGAATTTTGACATACAGTGAAGAGATTCGAAGAAATTGCAGAGAGTGAGGCCAAAGGAAGAATGGTTGAGCCGGTGAACTCTTCGCTTGGGAAAATGCTCTTCGAGGAGGTCAGTCCAGTGGTCATGGTTCTCTGTACGCCGCTTGTTGAAGAGACTTTCCTCAAGAATGGGCTATCCCTTGTTGAAACGCTCAAGCCATTCTGCAACTTCAGTAACATCGATGGTGAGTTCTGATTAGAATTACTATCGTTTTGATTGTCTTCTGCGTTTATCAAGTGTTTATCAAGGTTTACTTCCCTAATCGTCTAAGAAATGGTAAAATCTGTTGTGCAGTTCCTGTTCGGACCTCAGGCGATCAGCTTTATCGGCTAAAGAAGTTTACATTGAGATTGTTTTATGCCTCCGATATTAGACAACCAAACGTAGAGGTATGGAGGAAAATTTTCTGTTATGCAACAATTTTGAGAGGTCACCATTAGAATCATTAACTGTTCTTACTAAGAACGCAAAGTGAAAGAGGATGGATTTGGATCTAGGCGCATGCTTGTTTTTTTTTAGTGTTAGAGGTTCATCGATTCTGCGTCGCTGATGTTGAGCTCAAATTTGATTATGTTTGCTTAATGGCTGGCTAGGTTGCAAAGCAACGGCTAGAACATGTTATTACTCAGGCTGGGGAGAAGGATTTTCAGGATTTGAAATCTGACCCTCCTCAAATTACCGACATACTCTCTAGTAAGTCTCTACTCCAAAGTATGCTTTTATGTGCGGACGATGCTTTTATGAGTTTTTTCTCAACTTCATGCACCGATTTTTTAAAGAAAAATAATACATTAACTCTTTGCTTTTCTAGTGCTGACGTATTTCCCTCCCTACAGATTCAGGGTCTGAAATTGCGCCCACATGGTTTCAGTATTACAATAAGGAGCTTATACGTACATTGTCGTTTTCAGACCATGAAGCTTTCGATCATCCTGTGGCTTGTAAGACAAGAAATGGGTTTTAATCGTTTTTAATTGTCGTTTCTCATTAAAATAGGGTTGTTGATCTATTATGTTATAGAGTTTTCTTGTGTGTACCAAATAATTCTAAATGTGCTTTTCAGGTCTATTGGTCGTTTCATCAAAAGACGAAGAACCTATCAGTAAATTTGTAGCTCTTTTCAATACTGGTAGATTACCTTCTTTGCTTAATGATGGTGCAATGGACCCAAAGATTTTGAAGCATTACCTGTTGGTGCATGATAATCAAGATGCAACAACAGAGAGGTAGTTGGTCCTTACTCCATCGTATATGATATGATTCTCACCATAATTATATGTGTGTCAAATGTGATGTTTTAGTTGACTGGATGTTATTTCTTCTCTAGAACGTCTAAAGTTCTGTCTGAGATGAGAAGTACATTTGGAAATAATGAATGCAACTTACTCTGCACTAATTCATCTAAAGAGGGGGACGTGGAACATCAGGCTAATCCCTGGGCTTCATTTGTAAGTCACTCATCAGAACTTTTCATCCAACATATTGTACAAGGTTCATATATCAATCCATGTACATTTGTAAATTGAACATGTTGATTACCAATTTTTCTGAAAGAAATCAAGTGTTTCGGCTGACAAACTTGGATGCGCTCTCACTGGCGACGATATTGTGGAGGTATATTTTAAAGCTTCTGGCTGCTAGTTTTCGTGTAACATTCTCTTGCTGATAGTATTCACGCCTTTCAACCATTTTGGAATGTTTTAACCAACGTTTTACTTTTCCTGGCATATTCGAAGCAGATAAAAGATCTGATGCAAGAGTTTGCTTCTAGGCATATAATTCCTTACATGGAACAGAAAGTTCGAGAACTTAATCAACAGGTTAGCTTTAGATTTTTTAACAAGTTATTTGTGAGAACATTTCATACTATTTCTGTATGCTTTACTTAGGTCGTTTGTTCTCTTTCCATATCATTTAGTTTGCATTTTGTTGTGTCATTAGATCTCTGCAACAAGGAAAGGACTTAGAAACCAGATTAAAAACTTATGGTGGAGAAAAGGAAAAGATGATGTTCCGGATTCGACCAAAGGTTCTATGTATGCTTTCTTGAACTTCTTGCTCCCTTTATGATTTCCTTGACGTCATTATAACCTCTAATGATTTTGCTTCCACTTTTGAAGGTATACCTTTAGCTCCACCGAATCTCAAATTAGAATTTTGGGTGACTACGCCTTCATGTTGCACGATTATGAGCTTGCATTGTCAAGCTATCGCTTAATATCAACAGATTACAAGCTCGATAAAGCTTGGAAACACTATGCTGGTGTTCAGGTAGCTTCACATCTTTGTAATAATGTTTCTGTAGAGGTGCTATATGGCCTTATTTTAAATCATTATTCGTCTTATATATAGAATCTTACACATGGTAAAGGTTTGCCATGTTATCAAACTGATTGTTTTTGGTCTTTATTGTTCGTTGTTCGTTACTTGTGGTGGCTTCAGTAACTCATCTTCTTATGCATGTTTGGCAGGAAATGATGGGGCTTGCATATTTCATCTCAGACCAGTCAAAAAAGGAAGCTGAGTACTGCATGGAAAATGCATTCAGCACTTATATGGTATGTCTTTATAACCTAGTCTTTAACCTAAAACAGTTCTTTTAGTGAGTGTCCCTCGGTTACTTGAATTGGTATTTGTTATAAGCAAAACACGAAACTGGAATGCCAGTCGTTTAGCTTAAGCAAGTGACGCTATAGTACCTCCTGAAAAATGTCTTTAAAATCTCAGAAACTTGGGAAGTCTGGCTTCCAAAATGCCACGAGATGTGGGCTCTGGTGGGCAGAGATGCTGAAGGCTAGAGACCAGTACAAAGAAGCTGCTTCTGTTTACTTCCGAATATGTGGAGAGGTGATTCTTTTTATGCCTTCAGAATATATGCACTTTATACATTATGAGGGAGAAGCAAATGCCGTTAAAAGGCGACGTTGGATGTCGCGTGCTAACTTTTACTCATTTTGCAGGAACCATTGCACGCGGCAGTCATGTTAGAGCAAGCTTCTTACTGCTTCGTGTTAACTAAGCCACCGATGCTACACAAGTATGGATTTCACCTAGTTCTCTCAGGAGACCACTATAAAAATTGTGATCAGGTACATGTCACTTTGCTGAAAGGGCTCAAGCTTCGTACATGCTTTGCATTCTAAAGAATACAGTTTGTATGCCTTTTTCAGGTTAACCATGCAATTCGTACTTATAGAAGTGCAATCTCTGTATATCAGTCAACTACATGGAGCCTTATCAAAGACCATGTATATTTTCATATTGGACAGTAAGTTTTGGATGTGATGAATGTCGGTCTCCTTAAACGTGATGTTAGAAATTTGTGGTCCAAGACTTACAATTAAATTATCTGATCAGGTGGTATGCAATTGTTGGGATGCATGATGTTGCAGTAAGAAACATGCTCAAAGTACTGGACTGTGGCTACCAATCCAAGGCAACCCAAGAGATTTTTCTCAGGGACTTTTTCAACATTGTTAAGGT